AGTATGAAAGGGGGATACGTCATTCTGTTTCCCAGAATCCCATGTATTGGACTCGTTCACTTGGAAAGACAAATGGAGAAGAACAGAAGTATCGTGTGAGGGAGGGAGCGAGGAGAAGAGGACTCGAGCTGTGCCAGTCTCTGAGCGCCACCGTGGAGAGGGAGTGAGTAAAGCAAATCTAAAAATGAAAATAAAAGAAAGAGCTCAGAAAACGCAAAACAGAAAGAAGAGGACACACAGAGGAGTGAGCTCTGTCCAACTGGACCTGACGAGAGATTAGACGTGATAACCACGAAGAAAGAGGGGGTGGGAGAGTAATCGAGAGAGGAAGGATAAGCACTCTGTGTGGCATTAGGAGTGTAAGCTCTGCCTGGTATTTATAGTTCAGGCCGCAGGAGGAGAGAGCAGCCGAACAACGGCATCTCCAAAAAAAAACTGATGAGAAACGGGGGAAGGATTTCATTCAAAATTTGACAGAGGAAAAGACAAAGATGGTACAAGTGAAAGGACCACTAACGGAAATACCTTCAAGAATGTGATGGACCAGGTGTGCATTGTGCTCTCTAAGGATAATCAGGACTTTTCCTACTTTGCCTTCAGCATCCTCGCAGGGATTTAAAGACCCGTTTAACTGCGAGACTGAGGTGTCAGATCACTTCTGCCTGCACATTGGCTGTGGCTCTGTGTTTGTCGCTGCTTTATGAGATCATGCAAGTATCGCGGTAGTTACTTCACTGACTCTTTTTGCTGACTCACGTTTGGGATCACTGCAGAAGCACTCCGTTTCTGCAGTGTGTGACTTGGAGATTGAACTACGTAACTAGTAGGGTTGCATGATTTAATCATACGTAGTTTAATTGTGATCACGATATCTGCATCTCTCGATTATTAAAGCATAATCGTCTGCAGTTTTGCAGTATATTTAAACGTGAATCTCTTGACCATATTGTCTGCAACTGTGGTTGCTGAATCTGCAACTGGGGTACAATATAAACTGCTTCTTAAAGGTTTTACCAGTTCTCATAATGCAGAGAGGTCAAATAAAACATTAATTTGTGTTTATGTATGATATTTAAAGAAAAATTTCTGATTATTAGTTTAACCATTATCGTGCAGCCCTAGACTTTTCCATTGTTTTCATTCACCCCTAAAAGTCCCCAGGATACCTCTGTCTATCCCCCTCTTTTTGCCAACATTTTCATTTTCATTTTCACTTTCATTTTCTGTTATACACTTGCAGAGCTCTGCCAAGGGAATGATGATGATGACGTAACAGCTCGTCATTCACTTGTTTATTGCTCGATTGGACCTTGTCAACCTGCTTCACATGACTCCTTATGATATGGACCTTTGAATTAACTTGCTATTTTTTCCAAGTGCACAGAGACTCTTGAAGAAAGATTGCTGCCCAAATGTTCTTCATTCAGCCGCAGGAAATTGAGTAACCACGGATTGTGAGTGCTTAAGTGAGAGGTGGAGAGGATCTTCTTTACTGGGTTCATGACGGATATCACCTCTGAGAGAGAGAGAGAGCAAGAGTAGCCGAGGTTTAAAGGGAGGAGGAGGAGGGGAGCGTCAGTCCTTATTAGTAGTGAAAGGAGGAGCTCTTGTGGAGTTTGACATGCACGTGTGAGCCAAACTGCTTGCTTAAGCTGAGCTTTGATATGGCAGCGAAAAGGAAGGCCGGCTAGCTAGCGAGGAGGTAGAACGTGGGAGCTGTAGATAGAAAAGGAGGAAGTGCCTTTAACCTCAACTTTGGACTTTATTTTCAACTCTGAAGAAGAGATTACTTTGGATTAAAGGTGCAAAACACCACACTCAGAGACATGTCACGAAGACGAAGGAGAAGGTAAATCATTTTGGAAACCAAAAGGAATAAGTCACCAGCGCAATGTGGCCTGAATATTGCACCGAAAGGAGCCTGAACGCTCATCTGCACGCGCTCATGTGCTGCGCAGGTCAGTTTCTATTTGTGTTCCTGTGCGCATGTCGTCACCTAGTCACATGCTGTGATTTGTGTGTCAGCGGATGTATTCTTTAACATGTGCCTGTCCACTATTGTCGTTGTCCTGTATCGGTGTGAGTCCACATGGATGGGTGTGACTGTGAAAAAAGCGGTGTGACTTTCTGTAACATGTTTGGCCAGTGCAGGGTGTGTGAAACAACACACAATGACTCACTGTAATGTATGTGAAACAAGAGAATGTGCTTCTGTGTGACTGTCACAGAAAAAGGGAGTAGCCCTAAGTCTGTCTTAGAAGAACCTTGACACATTTATTTCTTTTTAAAGGATTAGTTCACTTTTGAAAAAACTTTTGCTGACAATTTAGTCACCCCCATGTCATCCAAGATGTCCATGTCTTTCTTTCCTCAGTCGAAAAGAAATTTAGGTTTTTGATGAAAACATTCCAGGATTTTTCTCCATATAATGGACTTCAATGGGAACCGGATGGTTCAAGTATCAAAAGACGGTTAATAACAGTTTCAGATGCAGCTTCAAATGTCTTTAAACGATATCAGACGATGAATAAGGGTCTTATCATGTGAAACGATCGGTTATTTCAAAACTTATTCCAAAAATGTAACTTTTCTAAGGACAAATGCTAGCCTTGCTCTATTCTGTGAGGCGCGTTTGCAACGTCACATATTACGTAATTACGTTCAAAAGGTCACGGGCGACGTAGCCGAAAGTACAGAGTCAGTGTTTACAAGTTGAACGCATAGGTTGAACGTGCAAACTAACTCAAACACCGTTTACAAAAAAAGGAATTAAAAGGAAAAACAACGATGTCGGACGATTTTGATTCTGTACTTCCGGCTACGTTGCCCGTGACCTTTTGAACGTAATTACGTATTACGTGACGTTACAAACGCGCCTCAGAGAATATAGCAAGGCTAGCATTTGTCCTTAGAAAAGTTACATTTTTGGAATAAGTTTTGAAATAACCTATCGTTTTGCATGATAAGACCCTTATTCATCGTCTGGTGTCGTTTAAAGACATTTGAAGCTGCATCTGAAACAGTTATTAACCGTCTTTTGATACTTGAACCATCCGGTTCCCATTGAAGTCCATTATATGGAGAAAAATCCTGGAATGTTTTCATCAAAAACCTAAATTTCTTTTCGACTGAGGAAAGAAAGACATGGACATCTTGGATGACATGGGGGTGAGTAAATTATCAGCAAAAGTTTTTTTCAAAAGTGAACTAATCCTTTAAGATGCTTTTGCAATTGTGTGTGTGTATGTGCGCGGCGCGCACACTTCAATGCGCTTGAATTAGATCCAAAAAGGCAAAAAAGAATATGTTTCCTGTACTCATGAAGGTATCAACTCCTGTTCAAAAGTCAGATCAAATTCCCAAGGTTGTAGAGAACACATGTTGTGAGTCAATTATGTTGTACTGTAATTTAGGAGGGAAACAAGGGGTATGCTAAAGCATTGGTTATGCAGTTTGTGTAGAATTTTATAGATAGATAGATCCATAGACATGTGACATCTACATTTTGCAGCTTCAGATGTGACTTCTCTATCAGAAATGTCATAATAAAACCTTGAGGTTGGGTTGTAATTTATTTTCATGTATATTGTACATTTGAGTGGGATGTTGTGTGTGTGCTTATCAGAGGAAGTGGGCCGTCTGCACCACATGGTTGCCTAGTATTGCAATGTCTCCATAGTAACATTGTCAACTTCAGCTTCACAGTAAGAAGCCAGTGGAAAGAGGCAGATAAAGAAGGGGTGAAATGAACTCATAAACATCAGGGATGTGTGATCCATTTCTATTCTGTGCTTCGCTGCGTCACTTGTCTGGCATGTTTAGGATAAGAAACAAAAAGAAATGCCTTAGAGACCAGAAGTTCATGTCTCAATTCAAAACTTCCTGCCCATAATTCCTTGTTTGCCCTGTATTAAGACAATATGGACATTAGATGTCAGATCAGGACTGTCATCACTACCACATATTGGTACACTGAATTAGATAGCATTCAATACATTATATTTGTGCAGTTTTAGGTACATAGGATATGATGCAACATCACCCTGTCTGTATCAACCTGAACATACATAGTCACACATGAATACAGGCTCAGAAAACTGTCAACCTCCTACATGCTTTAGTAAGTTGTGGAGAATGTAGGTCAGTTGACGATGTTAATGAACCTATTAACTGGTCTTTTTTTAAACTTTCAGCCTAGTTTCCATTTTTACCAAACCTCTGCTATTGTAGCTGATGCACTGCTGTAACCTGTTTTGCCTGTTGAAATTTGTTTTATATTGTGGATTTAATTACATTTTTTAAAAGGTTTTATACCAAAACTTATTTGAAGGATGTTTTAAAAATGTTTCACCAGGTTGTGTATTGTATTGTTTGTATTTGTCATAGTGCGTTCTTGACATGAAAATAGCCTTGTTTTGACATTTACATTAAAAACACAATTCAAACAGAGTCAATAGGATTTCTAAATGTTTTTGAAAGAAGTCTCTTATGCTCACCAAGGCTGCACTTGATTAATCATAATACAAAAAAAATGGTGATAGTGTGAAATATTACAAATTTAAATATGTAATTTAATTTATTCCCTGTAATTCAGCATCATTACTTCAGTCTTCAGTGTCACATGATCCTTTAGAAATCATTCTTAAATGTTGATTTGCTGCTCAAGAATTAATAGTAATTTTGTTGAAACTTTTTTTGAAGGATTCTTCTTTTTAAAAACTATACTGACTCTCTTTTTGGACTGTAGTGCATATACAAAAATGGCTTTCTGTTGAATCATGAAAATATGAAATATATTTGTTTTATATTTTTATGAAAACATTATTTGGCATTTTACAGTCTTTGTTTGGCAAATTCAGGCTATTTAAAGCAAGAGCAGAGGGAGGCTTGTAAATAATACATAGAGCATAATGCTGTAGTCTTCCTGTTGTGTTACATAATTAACCCAATCTCTCTTCCTCTCTTTTCTGCTGTTTCCTCCTCCATTTTTCTTTTCACAGATGAACGAGACAGGGTGCAGAAGAAAACTTTTACAAAATGGGTCAACAAACATCTCATAAAGGTACAGTCCAGCCTGTCGGGTTATTTTTCGGGTGTCTTTTCTGCTGCACTGCACGATGATAAGACCCGCTGGGCACTGGGCTCCAGTCCTGCTGAACACACGACACACTCATGTTCACACTTACACACGAGAAGACTCAGTTGAATCTTTTCAGTAACAGGACACTTGGAATAAATTTGAATCTTGCAAGTGAATGATAGTGTTACCAATAACGTAACCTCCACAGTATCTTGTCCACATGACTCTGAAAGTCATTTGGCACATTGTCATGCTCCAGAAATATATTTTTGTGTCTGTTAATCTTCAAACCCCACTGACTAGCTCATGAGAGCAAAGAATGCTGGGTATTTCAAGGGCAGGGCAGATGACCAACCACAGAAGGGCCAGAGTTATGAGGCTAGAGACAGTGACCTCATAACTCGGCTGGTATTACTGTAACGCAGGTCAGACTCTATGAGGTGCTATTGTAACGGTAGAGTTATACAGTTAATACTAGACCCCTAAATATGATCATAATCATGCGAGGGAACCCCATCTTAAAATTCCCCATACAAATGTGACACTTTTGTGACAGATTGCGTGTCTACTGACATGCCATTTTAACAATGACAGGTCTATTATCATATCCGGAAATCAGCAATTGTTCAAATGTTGTTGTTTTTTTGGGTTTTTTTGACTGTTGTAGGATAGCTCGCATAGTTTGTCATTAGCAGATACTAAATAGGTGATGATGCCTGTTAGCATTTGTGTTTACACATCTCTCTCCATCTCTGACAGGTGAACAGGTATGCGGTTATCCTCAGGCAAACACTGACTGACAAAGCGGCGTGTGTAGTTTGTGTCACGTCAGTGTGTTTTCTCTTTACACACTTCTAACATAAACAGTGAGCTCATTCAGAAATGTGGAACTGGTTTAAGAGGGTTTGCGCAATTGACCTGTCCACACCACAGGAATGACTGCAATCTAAAGCACATTTGAGCGCGACACCTTTTATTATTTATTACCCCTTTGCATCACATGGGTATTAGTGCTCAAGTATAGTTTGTTATTCTTTGTGTCTATGGAAACTGGGCATCTCATGATAATACACCTGTGATAAACACCGAAGTGGCATGAGAGAGACAGAAGTGTAAAGAGATTATTACATTGCGCTCAGGGAGTCTGGGGACATAAATGTACAACAAAAACATTATTTGTGTTCATGTGATCTCTTTTTTTTATATACAGACTGTCAGATATTCTTGTTTTCATTGAACACATGCTGTTCTTTGGATCTCAAATCACACTTTTGGAGATGCTTTTAGCCTCAAATACTAAGAAATTCTCAAATTCATGTTAATTTTTCATTTCAGCTTTTCACTCAAATTATTATGCTAATTTGTAATTCGAAAGTTGAATGTCGTCTCTTATGACCTCTTATCACCAAGGCTACATTTATTTAATCTAAATGCAGTAAATATTGTAAATTATTGTTACAATTTGAAACTATGTACTTGCATTGAAAAATAAGTACAATGTACTTATTGTGCTCATGTTGTATTGTAAAACACTTTTGCTGCTGTTGAGGTGTGATATGGGTAAGGTTTAGGGACAGGTGTGGTGGTATGGGCAGGTTTAAGGGTAGGTTTAAGTATAAGGGATGGGTCAGCTGTGTAATTACAGATGTAAGTACATAAATTAGTTACAGCTGTAATTACATGCTGGTATTTTTTAAATATAAGTACAATGTAAAAACATGTATGTACACAATAAGTTCATTGTATCAAATTATTCGTTTCAATGCAAGTACATAGTACTTAAAGCCACTTAATATATAGTGGGACCCATAATCTTTCAGAAAACATTCTAATATGCTGATTTGGTCAATAGAAAGTGCAAAAGAAGAGTTTTTATATAAATATTTTTATATAATAATTATATATAATATAATAATTATTATATAATTTTAATATGTCTTGACTTTTGATTAATTTTAATGCATCCTTTAATTAATCTCTAAAAAATAAATCTTTCTGACCCCAGACTTTAGGACGTTACTGTATATAATATAATACTGTTCTGTCTGGTTTGATTGGGATAAAGTGAGTGAATCGAGAGGATAGAGAGACATAGAGTTGTCAGGATGTTTTTTAATACTCAGCAGATGGCTCCTCTGTAGCCCTGTGGGGAGGCAGCTGTGTTTGATCTGCTGTATACAGCTTAGGATTTCTGAATCCACACACATACACACACACATGCGTTTGTGTGTGCTATGAAGTACACGACTTCAAGATCCTCCATGTTTTTCATGTTGCTTGTTTACTGGCCCATCTCCATGAGTCCGGTGCCCTCTGCTGGTTCGAGTTAGAGCACTGCATTTGTCTTACTGTGAAACTATTTCACTTTTCAATCTTATCTAGACTTCTTTTGTTAATGAGTTGCATTCAACCAAAATTTTTTTTGCGAATAGTCCTTGAATTACAGTTTAATGTATAAAATCTGAACATGACAGTTATAGCACAAACAAATATTGAAACTGTTACACTCTTGCTCATTATACACAAGGTTACACATTGGCTTCTAAAAGCTATAAAGATCTTAACCATCACTCTATTTCTCTTTCTCCAGGTGCGGAAGCACATCACAGACCTGTATGAGGATCTAAGGGATGGGCATAACCTTATTTCCCTGCTTGAGGTGCTGTCTGGTGTCACATTGGTGAGAAAGCAACTTAATTACTGTAACACAGATTAGGTTATGATTTGAATGCTTTGTGCAATTCTCATGGATAATTCATGTGGCAGGGATCTGCTTCATTTTCCATAATGCAATCCAGAGCCATATGTTACCTGCGGATCATGTCACATGAGTTGACCTGGGGGTTAGGCTGGTGTTATAAAGTGTCTTGGCTTGCTGTTTATGTCACCGAATTTAGATACAGGCCTTGCAGCAGAGAAATAGCTGAGTCTGACATTAGTACATTATTTCTACACTCAATCTTGCCCATTTGATTGCCTCAGACCATGATGCACTGGGGCAGACGGCATGACAAGGTGGATTAACAGAGACAGGCTGCTGACACACCACATGCCCTCTGCGATCTCTCTCTCTCTCTCTCTCTCTCTCTTTCTGTCTCGTTGTTTTCTCGTCCCATTTGATTGTTTTTTGTTTTGCTTTCCCTCCATCTTGTTTTAATTTTTTTGGAAACTGTGTTTTAGTACATATATCAGCCCTTCAACACTGTTTCTGTCTTCATCCTTTCTCTGTGACCCTCTCAATGATGTCATCAGCACAAGGGCGCGTCGACGCTGCGGAGAAAGTCTGTGTCACGCGCACCCCCACTCATCCTGATGGGTGGGGAGGATGAGGAGGATGGAGCTCAGGGAGTATGTGTGAACCCCCACCCCCCCAACTGAAATGCATAGTCACACACAGTCATCCCTGTACACTGCATGGCGTGGACTCAAAGGGCAGGTCAATTTCATGATTATGCATCGGCATTTTAGACATTCCCCTTTGCATAATCAGATTTAATACATTCGGGTGTTTGAGGGACCTCGCCTTGTCACACACATTCACTTCACTTCAGTGCTTCCAACACATTCAATCAGACGACTTGGCCACGTTTGCCCTATTGTGGGGGTTTTCTGCTCACTTGCAGGTTTGCTGGACATGCTGCTGCATTTGTAGGTGATAGTGAGCATGCTTTGCATGTAAGGGTGTGCGAGTCTGCTACGTGAACTCACTAGAGAGTAGTGAGTGATAGAACAATTATGGGCCATGCTCACTTGGATAATTAATAGAATTAGCCATTCGGCCTTGTTAATAGATTTGGTGAAGCCTTGGGGTGCAAATACGGACCCCAACCATATGAACGGTAGTGTTTATTGACATTATATTGGCCATTTACTGTCCTGCACTGGATATTGCTATTGGTCGGCCACTAATAGAGATGTTAGCAAGCAAGACAGAAGTGTGTGATGCAATAATAAGTTTTGCTTTGCTGTTTGAATTATTTGCTAATGGTGACAGTATGCTAACTATTCCCTGTAACTCTGAGCCAAGATTATTAGTTACTGACGATCGTGACAGGGTCTTGTGTCTCTTTGCAGTGTGCTGCTTTTGCTGCTTTCAGGCTTGCAGTCCTGTTTTCACACAAACCTCAAATTTAACAGATTATTAGTGCGCTCATTTGCATTCTCTCTTTTTTTTCTCTCTCTCTTTCTCATTATAGCCCAGGGAAAAGGGTCGCATGCGATTTCACCGACTCCAGAATGTGCAGATTGCCTTGGACTTCCTCAAGCAGAGACAGGTATGAATGTCTACACTTACACACACTTTCTCACTCTCAATCGCTTTTTACAGATTGTCAGTCCTTTATGTACAGATTCAAGGTTGGTTGGGCTAATGTAAGAGTTGAAGAGTCTGTCATTGAAAGTCTCATGTTCATCAACTAGTGTCCTGAATATTGGGGAGGACGTGTCCTCTTTAGTGTTGAGGCTGGCTGGTTACCCTCTCTAATGTAATGGAGGTCTGTGTCCTCCATCTCCGTGTGCTTCAGTCGGCTACATGGCTTTGAGAAAACATGACCTGGAGTGATAGATTTTTCTTGCCCCATACAAGCCTGTCCAATCCCCCCTCCCTAAACCAGACAAAATGCCAACCAGCACCCTTCTCCAAATACATAGTACATAGCTTCTGACAGCTGTAAGCGTAAGAGGACAACAAACACCAAAGCTGTCCTGAAATTACATTAGACGGCCATTTTTTTAAACTTGTTTAGTCCCTAGGCATTGTTAGCAGATTTAAGCAATGCTGTGGTCTTTTTAGAGCAATAATTAAAATATTTTTTAACGTTTAACATTGTTAAAATTACACCTTAAACTCGATTAAATGTTTACTACTAATGAAAGCCTTTTTGCTTTTAATGCAGGTCAAATTAGTGAATATACGCAATGACGACATCACAGATGGGAACCCAAAACTGACACTGGGATTGATCTGGACCATAATTCTTCACTTCCAGGTAAGGTCACAGCTGTGCCCTGCTCGATTATGTTGCGCTCAACACAGCATGCCAGAGTTCGAGGTGACTTTACTTAATGCTAATAGCTGCTGTTTACCAGCCTCTCTTGACCGTAGCTGTCAATTTGAGCAACAGGGATTTGTCCATAGCAAGAAAAGGAAAACTCAAAGAGGGAAGGGTTCATGAGGAGGATGTGATGTGAACTTTAGACATTGAATATGCTCAAGGACTGGTTTATTTGGCCCTCCATCTGCAGGATGAGAGGGCAGAGGTTGTGGACAGTTCTAGACAGGCACTGCCAGTCTGCATGTTGATAAAGAAACAAGAATCTGTCGGAGTGGACCCTGCAGAGCACATTTGTGAAATGGCCTTATTTTCTATACTAATGGGTCAAGCTAGAAAAGTAAGGTCTATTTGATGGAGACTGCGCTGCTGGATGGCAATTTAAGTAGGTTGCATGATAGTTTATCGTAAGAATTAAATAGAAATGTTTTTCCCTTGCTTGTTTCCATGTCCAGGGTGTTATACTGACTGGGCAAACTGTTTGTAGAAAAGCCTGTAATTTGTGGTAGTCTTATCAAATAATGACTCTTGAAAGATATTTAAATCACAGTCGTTTCTGCTTCCATTCATTAATCGGAAATGCATCGTGGAACACAGTAGAATAAGCATTTACAAGCTTTACATTTTGGCTAGTATAGTACATCTACAGAAAGTTGCATACTATATGTGAAGAATTCCAATCCGAGCATAACCATTGTCGCCCATTAGCAGTAAGAAAAGGCCACAATGCAAATTTGACGACTTAATAAAAACTTGCAGTTATCAAATAATAATAAATTTTTCAATAAATGTTTTGTTGATGATACAATATATATTAAATACTAATAGCGGCTTGTTCCAGGACTGTCCTGCAGGGGGAGCTGTTGTCAATAGTTTGGTGACATCACAAGGTGACATATGCAGCTGGTTGCCAAGGAGATTGTGTTTAGTATGACCCCAAAGCATTTTCAATCAGCATGATTCAGCAGAAATGAGTGGAGGAGGCAGGGGCCTCATGAAGATAGGAAATAACAAATCCGAAAGAAAAATAATTATGAAAATGATTTTTTTTTACACTGTATTACAGTACTTGAATTAAATAGCTTTCATTCACTATATTTCTAACAATACTTACTGAGCAGAGATTTGAAACAACTCTCAATGATTTAGACCAGGTAATTGGATTAAAACTGAAAAAGCCAGTAGCACACAAATAAGCTCATGTAGTTAACTACATGTTGCATCTTTGGGACAAAACATTTGAATAAATATGCACAGGGATAGACAAATGGGATTTTTTCCCCCTTATATATGTACTTGCATACCTTGCTTATGAACAATAAAATTGAGACACCAGTACCTGAAATGGGAAATGAGGTAATCGTCATTGTAAACTCCAAGTTGGTCAAGTAGAATATAGCATGACTCATTCAGGGAAACATCATCCAATAATCATTTCAGCAGAGGCACATTATAAGCCATTAGGATGAGATGCTATTTGTCAGAAGAAGCATTGGAAATCTACCCCTCTAAGTACAATTTTGATGCCTACTGTACATTAATTTCAGATAGCCAAGAGAGACCAACTATTTAACCTCCCCCACACTCAATCTGGGACACTTAGGCCTACTGTTTTAAATCCGTCGCTGTAATTTAGGTTAACAGCAGCCTTTTAGAATATTGTTTTTGATATAAATTGACCTCATATATTTTTTTTGTCTAACATCAGGATCCTGTGGGAAAATACCAGTCAGGCCCCAATGTATTAGCTCAGGCTGCATTTGTCTCAGCTGTCTCTAGCATAAATAATAGCCAATCAAATCAGGTCTTTGTATGACAGTCACATAAAATATGGGGTTATCTGGCCAGCAGGGTTGTTTGGCAAGGATCGTAATGCGCTGAAATCTATCTGCTGGATAAAGCCGATAGCTGTGTTCTAGTCTGTATTCTCTGTCCGTCAGTAAACAGAAATGATATCCTTTCTCAGTTACAGTACAGGAAACTCTGGATGCATGACAATTAGGTTAAAAAAAAAGTGGGCTCAGCTGGCTCATTGTCATGGTATCACGGATCTGATTGATTTATTGCTTGTTAATTCATCAGCTTCCTTTACAATCATGCTCTGCTCACGCTCATGCTCATAGGCTAAATTCCATCACAGTGCTTTTTTTTGGTAAAAGGTTCAATAATGTAGGAATAACTTCATCTTCATGCCTTCAGCCTCATTTGGTGCAGAATAGTGTATACCGCTGTTAGCCAGATAAAGAATTTAATGTGAAAGTGAAAGATTTCTACATGCAGATTATGTAGCGGGGTTCATTTAGTCATACAAATTTGCTGCGTTGACCCAAAGAAAACTGGTAGCCTGCAAAATTTCATACAAAATGTTGCTAGTGTGATTGCACATCTTTTTAGCCGTTCATTCACACGACAACAGCTTTTTGGGAGCCTAAAAATGCAAACTTTTGACAAACAAGTTTCAATGTTTGAAAAGTTTTTGAAAACTACACTGTTATCATCTTCTAATAAATAAGTACAAAAACGTGAATCTATGAAAAGATGTAAAAATGCACGTGTATATTACGTGTTTAGTCTATAGGCGTGCGGTTTTGGAGTGAGTGACCTGTGATAGTGATAATGTGTATGTGTGCAGGCCTTTTTTGGGGATTTTTTTTTTTTTTTTTTTACAAAGACATCGCCTACGACCGGCCTGGCATGCATAATACATCATTTTTAGACCTGAATATGATGTGTATAATACATAATTTTAGTCGTTTTTCACGGATCCGTGTGAATGGCGATTATTTTGAAAATGCTGTCATCTGTACAAAGAAAATACTTCCATTTTCTTCCATAATTCTTTCTTCCAAAAAAATACTTCCATAATTCCATTTTTAGTAGAGCCAGACCGATATATCGGCAGACCGATATTATCGGCCGATATTAGGCATTTTCCAAACTATCGGTATCGGCAATTATAATGGCCGATAAATGAATATTTCAAAAATAAAATAAAAAGGGACGAAACACGCTTGAACCATGTCATGAGTGTTGGAGTTGTATAGTTTGTCCCCCAGAGGGCACTCTACACCGTTCCTTTTGGCAGTTGAGTTGGTCATGATACATACATTGCTTGAATAACAATTAAAAGAACATCCCCATCAGTTCTCTTAACTGAAATAAGCATGAAAAAATCTGTGACTATCATGTCCAGTTTAAAAATAAATAAATAAAATATCGGCTGAAATATCGGAATATTGGATTTTAAAAGGTATCGGCCTTCAAAATGCTTTATCGGTCGGGCTCTAATTTTTAGTACATTGTTGTTATGTAAATGTACAATTAGTTAAAGATATTAAAGATAGTCTAGTCTAGTCAGTGGTAAATCCATTCATTCTGCCTTGTTAATCTTTGTCCATATAGTGTGTTAGAAGTAGGACAGGGTGATAATAAAAGCTGTGAAATAACATGTATGTTAGGGGGCAACAGTTAAAATTTCAAGTACTTTTTTTTTCTGGCACTGTCAGGCTCCCAACCAATTGAAGGCCATTGGGTTGGTGTGCGTGTGTGCTGAGCTCTGAGCTCACCAGGAATCGTAGGGAGGGAGGGAGGGAGGAGCATGTGGATTGGAGGAGAGCGAGGAGGAGGGAGAGCGAGAGAGGAAGCAGCAGCAGCGTATTCAGTGAGGCTGCAGCAGACTAGAGATGAAGCTCTTTTTTCCGCTGGTGCTTACCAGCGAGAGCAGAGGAGCTACCCAGCAACTGAGAAGAGGACACTTGCAACCTGCTATTACTGGAGCCCCTGGCTTCCTCTCCCCTCTGCAGGCCTATTGAACCACATATACAGCGACACATATGCTTTTAATTTCAAATTTGGGATTGCTGAACCCTGCAGAGACACACATGTAAGTCACACGTTTTAATCTAAACCCAGGTTGTGCAAAGGAGGGCGCCGTCTCAATCGGATCAATTTCGCCATGCTTGACTGATGGAGCTATGCTTTTTTTCAACACTGGAGCAACCACTCTTTTCTGAGGATACTAGCTGTGCAGCTCGTGGTTGGGGGTGTATTCCTTTGGATTTTCCTCTTTTCGTCATCTAGCCATGGTTCAACTCTCCTGCCCAGCCCTGTCCTGGCTGCATTCTAATTAGATTCCACAGCCAGAGAATCCGTCAGTATCAAGGAGCGGCATCTTATAAGCTATCACTCTTTCTTACATCCGCTTACCCCAATCTAGGGATGTACAACTGCTTAGTGGCAGAACAAGGAAGACAGGATGGCTTGAAGCCATGTCTACTTGATAAATGAGACAGGATTACATGCTTAACAACGTCCATAACCGGCCATGTCAGCAAGGGGAAAGTGGTTATTTAGGTTTGCTGGCTGAAGGTGAGGTCTTCACTCATGGTAGTCACTATCCTCTTTATTGACTTGAATGTGCTGGCGTCAGTGAATGGGATGCCAGTTCCCGTGGCAGCAAAGGCAAGACGCTTAGTACCTAGCCCTTCCCCCTTTTTCTGTTCAATATCTGCAGACTTGTTTTAATGGAGCTTGCATGCCTGGGAGGTGAAACACTCATAGCTACAGGTGTCAAGACCAAACATTACCTGATGTGCTTGGGTGATGATGGAAACGAGATGTTGCGATCAAATTGTAGATGAGCTGCCTGACTCTGCACTTTTGTCCATTATCAGATCTGAGACCTGTTACACTGCTTTATCGTAAACCTTTCCCCACAGGACTACCACAAATACTGCTCAACACTTAACTACCCTATGTGAGTGCAGTGATCAATAATTTATAGTAAAGACACCCAGAGGCAGGTGTTTTGGGCATCTTACTATACACACAAATGCAAGAATAGACGTCTTTTTCTTACAGTTTTTAGTTGTGTGCAAGCTGACAATTAGTGCATCCTAAGATATTAAGCATGTGCATGTGTGCTCACAGGAGTATGTCTGCAGTGCAGTTTTATTGTGGTTCTCACCTTGAGGAATATCAACAGTGGAATAGTGTGTCTTCGAATACCATGACAAATGGCCTCCTATTTAACACCAGCTCTTTTTTCAGTCAGCGCTGCATCATCTCTGCATCATGAGAGAGTGGAACACATCAAAAGCCTTGCCGTAGGATTTTAATATTTTATAAAGGACAGTAACCTATATACATCATCATGTCCAAGAGGCTTGCTAGGACCCTAGGGGATGTTTGCGTTAGGTTAACTGTAATATTGCCTGAATGAAATCAGAAAGAGGAGACCAGACAACAGGAGGAATGACTGCTGTCCGACTCCACACCTAAAGTTGAGACATCATGCCCTGTGGGAACCTCAACATGTACCAAACCCTGTTGTCATGGTTAATGCCTTTTTGTCTTGGTTTTCACTCCAGATGAATCATTAACTTAACAGCCTCAGGCTGACTTTTTTGTGAATTGCTCTGCTCCCATTGTGGACATCTCTTAATTTCTTGTTTTTCCTCTTGACTTCTATTTATTGTTACTCTGTGTCTGAGAAATGGGGAGCTCCCTTGGTTGTGTGAAACAACCCAGGGACGATGGACCAGGTGGTGCTGTACCACTATCCCCCAAAAGAAGACTTCGATTCAGACGAAAACGAAAGGCCAATCAGAATTTAAGAGGTTCCAGAGGGGAAGACAAGAAAAGCCGCATACTTGAAGAGAAGGGTGGAAGCATTGAACTTACAGAGGAGTCTACTTCAAAAGCCCCTGTTTCAACCAAATCGCTATCTGGCCAAAGAAATACTGAAACACCCACCAATGTTGTCCTGGTTCCTGGCATGGCCCCAATATTTGGAAGCACGGGGACATTACGGGGCAGCAAGATGGCCATTCTTTCCCCAGATCCCAGTCCAGCGTGGCTGGGGGCACTTCGCCAATTTGAGGTGGAGGGACTTAGTGAAGAGTCTCATGCTGAATTAGATGAGGGCAACAGAACACCCGGAGGAGGAAGAGTCTGCAAGGTTCGAGAGCGAGTTCAGGGGGTATTAGAGAGACCCTGCCTTTTACGCTCCAAACTTGGTGACCTGGAAGTAGAGGAGGAAGGAGGGGATGTGCATGAGGCAAGAGAAATGTTGTTCAGTGAGCCCTTGAAAACTGAGAAGAAGGGAGTTGTTCATATTCGTGAGTTTGGAGGGCAACTTTGTGTGGTCCGAACTGTCTATCCAAAAGACTATGGGTCACCCGTCTGGCGTGACAAAGAACTTGAGGTCCATTCTGAACCTCCAGCTGTATCTCCTGTTACTGGAGACATTATGAAAATACACGTCTCCGCAAATCAAGGACGACCACCCGGGAAGAACGACTCTGCCAAACCAGCAACAGCTGCAGCTCAGGAAAAAAAAGAGAAAGAGTTCCTATTGGACAACTCTACTCAAGTAGCTGAAGGCTTTGGTCTCCCACCACAGGACATTCAGTCTTCAGGTTACGCTAGCGATGTACCTCTTACTTCGCCTGAGACGGGAGGCGCTGTCCAGACTGACTGGGGAAGCTCCTCTGATGTGGTTGATTCTTCTGTGCTTGAGAGTCCCATCTCCCCACAAGAGATTCCAGCTCAGCCTTGCAGCCAGGTCAGATTATTTTATTCTCTGTCTGCCTAAAGCGCTTTCATGTCGTTTGGAAGTGGATTGGGGGTTCAGGTGTATGATTGTTTTGCATTTCATTGTATTTCTGCCCTTCTATCTATCGTGCGGCTTTTTACTCTCAGAGTCTAAAACAGCAGATCCTTCCTGACCCTCTCCCAGGAGCCTAATCAGTACTGGCCAGACCATCTCTCACTGTCTGCCTCTTTCCCTTCCCTCAATTCCTCATTATTTTCCTTCCCTCATACCACCCACTCTCTTTCCTGTCATTCCTGATATTCTGTATTAGAGCAAAACTGCCTTGCAGTGCCAAAAACACGATCAGTAGTGATGTTCACAGACACTGTCAGCTGTTCATCTTTTTTCTCTCTGCACCAGTGTAGATTGCTGCATATTTGTCTGTTGCCAGCCCTCCCTCGCCCTTGTGCTCCACCTGCACACTTAAGAGTTATAGCTATTAGAGAGGGATTTGGTGGCCTTGTTACAGATGTTGCAGCAGTGTGCTTTATTGGTTTGTTAGCAGGTTTACCTGGTTTATTAGATGCTTAAACCTGATGTTTAAGCCATGAATCTGCATGGCGTTTCAGTGATGTCCTAAATGCAGCAAAAGTGTGGAAACTGAAGCCAGCATGTACACACCCAGAAATATGCGTAAAACAGTAACTGGTTGAGTATGTTTAAATGCAGTCTCAGTGATCTCTCTCTCTGTAAGGCAAGCTTCCTCTTCGTTGGAGTTCAGTACTGTATGTGCCAGCTGCATTCATATTGTCATGAAATGTCCTACATATGCAAAAAATATGAATTTGATGTGCATTAATCAGGCCTACAAACTTCATTTTGATGAAATGTTTGCTGTCAATTATAATTTCTAGGTTCTCAAATCGCTTTATATGGAAGGGGCGATCTCCTCAACCACCACCAATTACATTGGTTGATCTGGTGGATTTGTTGATTTGCATTTTTATTCTTTGGTTTTGCATTTTGTTTTGTTTTTAGCTTTAAGTTATGTGTTGTGCTGTTATTTTTGTTGGGTTTGATTTCTCATGTATCGCTTTTCTGATATTCTTAGCTCATACCATTCTCAAATATCCTTGTACTTTGCTGGTTGTAGTCCTTCCTCCATTATCCCTTATGCCCACACTACTATAAGTGTTAAATTGCATTGTTGTGTGTTCATTTTCAGTTGTGTGAGCATGCTCAGTGTTAACTGTGATGTACTGTAATTACACTATTTGAAGGTTTCAGGGTGCAGCTCTGTCCCTGACTCCTGACTCTATTAAAAGGTCACATACTCAGTCTCCTGCTCTCTGATGGAAATACCACCATGTCATATTATGTCCATGTCATCAAACTTTATTTAATCTATATTGTTGTGGTCGATTCTCCTTAAGTCTGATTTGATTCAAGCCATCTTGTCTGTCAAATATGTTTGAACCAAAAGAAGAGGTAATGTTTTGGTGCGTTTTTATGGCTCAGAGCCTTGTTGATTGGACTAGCTTTAGAAATCTCTGTCCTCACTTTCTAAATCATCTTTAGGCTCAGGCTAGGACAGTTACTGTTCTGTTTCTGAATGTCGCCAAATTTGACCAAGCTAATCTTGGCCTGCATGATTGACTTTAAGATCTGTGAGATACTCTTAAGTCTGTCTATACTCTCAGCACTGTCTGCATTTATTCCAGGATTTAAAGTGTTCTTTGCTAGCTCTGCAAGAAAAGAAGTAGCAGGCAGGGATGTGAAGAGTAGCATATGAGAGGAATGACAAAGGAATACAGATTAGAGCCTGGCACAGACAGATACTGCGGATACTGACTTCCTTTGTCAAGAAGAAGAAGAGAAAGTAAAAGTAGAGGAGTGAAAAAAAGATAAGTGAAAGGTTCATGTCCTTGCTGTGGGTAATTAGGGCCTAAGGTTCAGAGATACAGAGGCTATTTCTAATAATATATGTTTGCAGACAAGTGATACGCCACCTTTTTAGTAGAAGTATGAGATCAATTCCCGTTTACACAGTTAAATCATTTAGGTTCGGAATCAGTATCAGCTTTTTTGTCTTTACCAGATTTCTGAGATCTATGTGAGCGGTGAGTCAGGTGACCTCACGGCGAAAGAGAAGCTGCTGTTATGGAGTCAACAGGCCACAGAGGGCTACCCCGGTCTCCGCTGTGCCAATTTCTCTTCCAACTGGAGCGATGGACGCTTGTTCAATGCTCTTCTGCACAGATACAGGTTCACACGCACATTTAAGGATAATTAGTGCTCAATTTCAAAGGCATCAACACTCATGATCTCATGGCACTGTGATTTTTAGGCCGGACCTGATAAACATGGAAGTGGTTGCGCAACAAAGTAACCGTGAGAACCTGGAACAGGCCTTTGAGATTGCAGAGTCCTTGGGGGTAACAAGACTTCTAGATGCTGAAGGTAACATTAGTGTTTTAACTGTCTTTAGTTTTCATCCATTCTGCATATGAGAATTATTGTTTGCTAAACTCCATTTGTCTTTGATCATCATTTGCTTTCTCAATACCTTATCCTCTTTCTACATCAGATGTTGATGTGCCGTCGCCAGACGAGAAATCTGTCATCACGTACGTCTCCTCCATCTACGATGCTTTCCCCAAGATCCCAGAGGGTGGAGAAGGCATTGCAGCTCATGTATGATCACTTCACAGTGCACTCACTCTCTTTAAGTTGCATTTTCTTTCTCCACAGTACTTGTGTACCAATAAATTACACATTGTACATTTTCCCCCCTTGTTTTCTTACATGCGGTATCTGTTGTTCAGGAGGTTGACCAGCGATGGACAGAGTACAAATCTGGCTTCTCTTCTCTGCTGCAGTGGACCAGGCAACATACGGCCCTCATGGCCAATAGGAGCTTCCCCCACAATCCTGTGGAACTCAAGGTAAGAAACGTGAGGGAAGCAGTTGTCGAAAGAAAAGAGCATAATTTCATAAAGATGTAGCTAAAGATATAATTTAATGGGGGAAAAAAAACCCTTTCAACAATCTAGTGAGTTGCCTCACTGCCTAATGCCTACATTCTTCACTACCATTCAGTTTGGGGTCAGCATTTTTATTTATTTTTTAAGAAATACAGTACATTTTATTCACCAAGACACATTAATAAGATCAAAGAATGTTACAAAAAAACACAAATGTTTTTAATATGCTGAAAATTCTGTAAATTCAGCTTTGCAATCATTTAAGAATAAATTCTAAATTATATTAAAATAGAAATTATATTAGTATTCCACATAATATTTGACTATATTTTGATTAAATAAATGCATCTTTGGTGCATATGTGATAGCGAACTCAAACTTGGTAGTGAATGGAACACTACATATGCACTGCAGTATATCCATATGCCACAAATAGGGACTTGGCTTGTAATATATTTTTTAATAGAGTTTGATTTTAGTATGTTGGTAAGCTAACAAAACAATATTATAATAAACATTAAAAAACACATATTGGGTAAAATAATCCATTTTGAATTTCATAACTTTTATAGATCATTTTCAATGCCAAATACAATGTTATTTAAAATCCATTATTGAAAGAGTTTGCTTTAAAATAGTTGTCTGTGAAGGCAGCAAAAGGAATTAAGTTTTAAAAAAGCCTTCATGTCCAGAAAAAGCTGTGATGCCTTAAATTGCTAATCACTGTTTGATTTGATCTGACTTGGCTGCTTACCAATAGTCTTCTCTTCCCCAGGCACTTTACAATGAATATGTCCACTTCAAAGAAACCGAGATCCCCGCAAAGGAAAGAGAGAAAAGCCACATTGAGCACCTTTACAAGCTTCTGGAGGTGAGAAAGAAAAAACGAAGATAAAAAGAGAATGACAATAAGACATAGAGAGATTGAGGCTGACCTTGATTCTGCAGCTAAAAGCAGGCAGCACTGTTCATAAGAGGCACAGTGGAGCTGCACATTAACAGATTCAGGCTAATGTAGAGCACAATGCTGACATGTGGGAGAGGAGGAAGACTGACAGTATAAAGGGAAAACACATGCACACACTCAGACACACTAGGAAAGCTTCATTCCATGATTGATGTTTGTGGGTGTCGTTTAGGCATGGATAGAGTTTGGGCGCATTAAGTTGCCTCAAGGGCTACACCCTAATGATCTGGAGGAGGAATGGGGAAAACTGATCTTGGAGATGTTGGAGAGAGAGAAAGCACTGAGGCCTGCTGTGGAAAGGTTGGGAGAGTCCAGTTCTTGATGAAATTGCTACATTTTACATTTTGTAGCAGTTCAGTATTTTTATGTGTATTTTGTATGTATCTTTGTTTTTAGGTTGGAGTTACTCTTGCAGAGGGCCAATAAGATCCAGAACATGACTCTAGATTGTGAGGAGAAACTCACACTGGCGAAGAACACTTTGCAGGCTGTAAGTATGGGACTATCTCTGTGGGAACTGTCTCATAAACTCTTTTCCAAAAAACTATTTACCTGTCTTGTCTACATTGACAACTGCCTTCTGAAATGGAAGTGACTGATTTGGATGCTGTTCATATGCAGCAGCTCTGCCTGCTATATTAATAGATACTGATGTTAGATGCTAAGCTACATAGCACTCAAATATTTGGTACAATAGCCTTTTTTTAATTAGATTTAACTATTTTTATTGCTGATTTTTAGTATTGAATGGAGTTGAAGATTAAAGGAGTAGTTCACTTTAAAAAAAAACTTTTGCTGATAATTTACTCACCCCCATGTCATCCAAGATGTCCATGTCATTCTTTCTTCAGTCGTAAAGAAATGAAGGTTTTTGATGAAAACGTTCCAGGATTTTTCTCCATATAATGAACTTCACTGGAAACCAAACAGTTCAAGGTCCAAAAGACAGTTTCAATGCAAACTGTTCAAAGGGATTTAAACTTTGGTTTGTTATGTTTTAATTATATTTGTTGTATTTACATTGTATTTTTAGGTTGCCTATTGTACATCTGGCCCAGGACTGCAGATGAAAACTAGCCATTTGGCTAACTCTGGCATATTTTGACTTGTCATGTTAATATGCACTGTCCTTGTAATAAATAAATAAAATAAAATAAAATAAACTATTTCAGACGATGAATAAGGGTCTTATCAAGCGAAACGATCGCTCATAAAAACAAAATAACAAAGCTCTTTTATAAGCTCAAATGGTCGCCTTGCTCTGTTCTGTGATGTGCGTTCATGACTCTCCTGTTTGAACTCGTTTATCAAAATGAACGAATCTTTTTTCGTGTCATTTGTTTCATTCAACGAACGAAATGAACGAGTTGACTCTGGAAAAGATTAGTTCATTTTGATGAACGAGTTCGAAACGGAGGATCACGAATGCGCATCACACCCTAACCCTAACAGAGCAAGGCAACCTTTTGAGCTTATAAAACTTAAACTTTTTTTTTTTTAAATGAGCGATCGTTTCGCTTGATAAGACCCTTATTCATCGTCTGAAATCGTTTAAAGCCCTTTGAACAGTTTGCAGTTTGCACTGAAACTGTCTTTTGGACCTTGAACCGTTTGGTTTCCATTGAAGTCCATTATATGGAGAAAATCCTGGAATGTTTTCATCAAAAACCTTCATTTCTTTTTGACTGAAGAAAGAAAGACATGAATATCTTGGATGACGTGGGGGTGAGTAAATTATCGGCAAAAGTTTTTTTTTTTTTTTTTTTTTTAAAGTGAACTACTCCTTTAATATTACCATGAAGGATACAGGCAATGCCACTTTCCCAAAAGAAGGGATGAAAGACCATTTGGAATGTCATGTCAAACACAGATGCCTTGAAATACAATATCAGTTCGCAACACACTTGATTTGTCCTCTGAGATCACTCTGAGATCAAAAACATGGTTCTTTATCATTTAGAAATCTTTTGTGCTTCATTGTTTTCCATTTGTTTTCTGTCTTTCCTCAGGACATGTCTCAGCTAGAGAATGGGCAGCCAGTGCGATGTGAGAATGAATTGGGGTTGTATCTGCAGGACTGTGAGGCTCTTGTCAGACAGCTTCACCTTGACCTGCAGGTCCTTCGAGATGAGAAGTACTACCAAGTGGAACAGCTGGCTTTCAGGTAAGAGGGAGAAAAGGCGAAATAGAAAAATGTGTGTGAAAAGCAAGCCAGAGTGAGGGATGGCATGATTTTGTACTTGTTGACCTTTATTAAAGATTTATTTGATTGACAGAAAAGAGGGAGATATCTGTACTGTGAACAATTATGAACACAGTTATCACAATTAAAGTTATATTTATAATTATTATTATAAAGGGTTAGTTCACCCCAAAATGAAAATTCTGTCAATAATTTCTCACCCTTATGTTGTTCCAAACTTGGAAGACCTTTGTTCATCTTGGGTACACAAATGAAGATATTTTTTATGAAATCCGAGAGTGTGTGCCAATCCGAGATATTTTTTTTCAGTCCCGAGAGCTTTCAGCGAGCAACACAATTTACACATTCAAGGTCCAGAACAATAGGAAAGACATCATTTAAGCAATCCATTTGGCTCCAGTGGTTTTTCTTGACCTGCAATCCAGTAGGGGGAGCACCATGACGCATGCGTGTTGTCTCAAGACTGGAAGTTGTTCTGTGAACGCACTTTGGATCATTTTATTTTATAAATATAGAGGTCAAATATGTTTTTTTGCGCAAAATTCATAAAATGGTGGTGAAACCACTGGAGTCGCATGGATTACTTTAAAGATGTCTTTCCTATTTTGCAGAAAAATTCTAATTTTTCCATCCAGCAGTCTTACTCTCGGTCCTTTCTCTCTTGTAGGGTATCATGTCTGCAGGAGGAGCTGGTCTCTATGCGCCTGCAGTGTGCCAGTGTGTACAGGAAGGGTCATTTCTCCACGGGGGGTCTGCTGGGAGAGCACGTGGGTCAGAAGGGGTCACCAGGAGGTCTGGCTACACTCGGAGCACAGACACTCCTGGGAGCAGTGGGTGCCGCGGCGTCTTTGCTCAGGCGGCCGATGTCTCGTGCAGATCTGGTAGCCATGTCGTCCTCTGAAGATGAAGGCAGTCTGCGCTTCATCTATGAGCTGCTGGGATGGGTTGAAGCGACACAAGACTTACTGGAACGAGCCGAGTGGGGTTCTGATCTGCCGTCTGTAGATCAGCACCTGCAGGACCACCACGTCATTCACACAGCAGTGGAGGATCTACTCAGTAGCCTCAAAGAGGCTAGAAATTATGAGGTACGAACCTATCAAAGAACCTTTCACATCATTTCTGAAATAGTCTCCGCTTTAGGCAGCATGTACACAGACTGCAAGCTGGCCTGTTCACTGAGTGTCTTCTGTATACTGTACACAAAACTGGAATGCACTTGAAAAAAATGGCTCCAGTCAGATCAACTGACAATTTGCAAATGAAAATTACTGTGACTATGGAAAATATTTAGCTGCGTTGGTGCAAGTGATTGATCGAAGCTCATGAGTGGTTATATATGCTGTCCAAAATAAGAACATGCCAAGTGGCAAATGCAAGTAGTGTGACAATGTGTTTATTTACACATGAACCACTCATGATGCGGTGTGCCAACATCTTGTAACGAGAATCATTTTTATGTTTTGTTATGTAAAAATCAGAAGGTTAAAAAGGTCTTCATGTGGTTTTCACCAAAATAAAAGCTCTATTTATTTAACAATTAATTAGTAACCAAGGAAATTAAGACATGTATATTAGTACTGTAAATTAATGTTGTAAAATTAATTGTTTAGTATTATTATTAAATACTATTTTTATTTTACAGTACAATGGTATTGGTAGTAAAATTGTATATTTATTTGTTTAATTTTTATAATACAATGATTATAATAATAATCTTATGTATTATTTATTATGTGAGCTTATGTATTGCACACTCAACCCTTTTGCATAAGGAATGATTTATTTCTTTATATTCTCTCTCCCTCAGTCAAGGGTCTCGCCTAATTTACGTAGCAGTTACTCTGAGACTCTGTCCAAGTTGGAGAACCAGTATTGCAAACTACTGGTGAGTTTTCCCTGCTTTAGAATTATGATAAGCAGACATGTGTGAGTGTATTTGAGTTCATTATACTCTGTATTATGTATATTACTCTTCTCTGATCTCATTAGGGCGTGACAGAGTGTGTCCTTCCTTACAAAGGCAGAATACAGAATGCTTGTGTGACATGCTTATAAGAGTGCCGCAAAACACCTGCTCTTGACATATACCCACACCCACACACATCTCCATAATTTAACCAAATCAGTTCTCCATGAAAACATGCAATTGTTCAAAAGACCAAGGGTGCTCACAACGGGGAAAGCATCAGACTGAGCAGTTGGCCGCGTTATATGGCCAGTTTTATAAATGTTGTTGTGTGTTGTCGCAGGAACATTCGTCATGGCGACTGCGTTGCCTGGAGAGCCTTCGAGCTTTTGTGTCCCACTGCACCGAGGAGCTGATCTGGCTCAATGAGAGGGAGGAGGAGGAGCTGGCCTTCGACTGGAGTGACGGCAACACCAATATGGCTGCCAAAAGAGAGCAATATGCTGTAAGACTCCATCTATAGAAAGATGCACTACCTCTGGCCACCATATGTTCCTTTACTGATTTAGTCCTTATTACTGAATGTTTTTTGCCCTTACATGTATATTTTCTTTAAACATTTCTTTTATAATATTTAGGGCTGTATGTGTATTTGCCCTTAGTTTCAAAAGAACTTCATGATTATTATAAAGTCATGATGAAACAAATAGAATTGCATTGGAATTGTTAGTGAAATGGATTATCAAAAAAATGAAAAAATGTTAGTGAGGGCTTGGTTCTATGCATCTTGTTGTTGATTGGCTTTTGAGATGTGGGTATTGAGCTCAAAAATGGATGCAGATGAACGTCAGCTTGCAGGGCCAGAGTTTAAGCCGACTAAGCGATTGTCGTTTTATGATTTGTCGAGTTATGGTATTTTTTTTTTTTTATGAGGTCAACATTTAAAAAATCAAACAGACATGGATTAATTGATTACAGTAAAATCACTGACATGCATTTACAAAATAGGGTGAATTTTCACTTCATGCCGATTTAAGTGTAGTTGCAGTTGTCCATTAGATTTTTGGGGAATTGAGCAATATCTTTTGATCTCCTTAACCTCTTTCAGGACATGAGGTCAGAGCTGGAAGAAAAACAGGAAGTGATGCGCTCCCTCCAGGAGACAGCTGACCACATGTGTCAAGAAAACCACCCAGCCAAACAAACAGTAGAGGTGAGTTGGTGATCAATATGAACAAATCTTCATGCAGTGAACTCAGCATGTCGCTCTCAGATGCAGTAAAAATCGTTTTAAACCAGATTTGGTGCTCAATCCTGACCTGTTGACCCCTGTGATCATAGGCCTACAGTGCTGCCCTGCAGACGCAGTGGCAGTGGATTAAAGAGCTCTGCATATGTGTGGAGCAGCACCTCAAGGACAACACTGCCTACTTCCAGGTACTAAATCAAGCTTTTCAATGGAAAAGCATTAAAACAATTATTTGTTAATACATTTTTTGCTTTAAATGACGTTTATGACTTTATTTTAGTTTATGAGTGATGCACGGGACTGTGAAAGCTTTCTACGTCAGCTACAAGACACCATTAAGAGACAGTACACCTGTGATAAAAACAGCAGACTTGGCAGATTGGAGGATTTGCTGCAGGACTCCATGGTGGGTGTTCCCTCTTATTCAAAAAATAATAATTAGTGCACAATCAGCCTTTAAAACATAAATTATCATCATCGTCATTCTTTGGAGATTTTAGTTTAGGAATTTGAATTTTTGAGCTCAATGAGTGCACATATGACAGATGGCACCATGAGAGAGGGGTTACACAAGAGCAGGCAGAGCAATGGGCATATCCTCTTTGGCCATACGGAAGAGAAACCCAGAGCTGGCACAAGTGTATCACAGTTAAAATAAAGGCATTAATGCATTAAAAAGTAGATAGAAGCTTGGATGGATTATCTTCCCAAATTAATACTGTAAATTTAAAACATTTTAATTTTAGAATCTCTCTCTCTCTCTTTCTCTCTCTCTCAGTATTGTTAAAAATGACTAGTATTAATATTTGTACTATGATTACTACTAATAATTTTCCAAAAAAAAATTTCTTTACAACACCCTTTTTCATTTTAAGAAAATATTGGCCATTGGTGGTATATATTATTTTCTTTTTTTTTAAAAATAATCGTAACAATGAAGAAAATTGAAAAATTTCAAGAAAAGTTGCATTAGTTCATTAACTAAATTAAACAAGCATCATCAAAAGTCATTTATTTGAGTGGTTGTTTATAATTGAGCATAATATTCTTTAATTAAAATCTTTATGTTAGACATAAACTTGAACCGTTCTTTGTGTCACTATGTGTTCTACATCGCCTCCAGCTCTCACTAGGAGATTATTTTAATTAAGCATTTGACAGATGTCTCCCCAAAAATCCCCACTGTTTATGTGTATTGACCAGTAACCGTTTATATCCCTCAAATAAGGATGTGGCATGTTTGCCATAATTTCACTCTTTTAGTTGCTCTGAAAAACCTCTATTTTGATGAACTCTGACCCCATGTTGATATGCAGTCAAATTTAATACCACATGTTAGGTTCTTGCGGAAAGCGTTGTGTTATTAGATCTTCCTGTCATCCTCTGCTTCCCAATGCCAGAACTAATGAATCCCTTATGAGCTGTTCATGGAAGTGTCATATCACATAGTCATTAATTTTAGTACAACGAAAGCTAAGCAAATAATAACCCAGGGAAGAATATCAGTGATGGCCATATATATTCTTAAAGATATTTCGACATTCATTAAGCTATTTTTGTGAGAAAATGAACATTTATTATCATGAATGCACATTTCAGTTACAGTTCATCTGACATACAGCATGGAAAAACAGGTAATAATGGAGAAAATCAAATTATCAGGAAAGTGGCTTAATTAAGGAATTATATTCTGATTAATACATTTAAATATTTATTGATTTAAGACTTTTTTTTAACATTATTTTTATAGGAAAAATTTATTATGGCCCCTAGTAGTACAACATCAAATTACTCAGTGCACCTTTTACTCTTTTAACTGCGTGTTGGTGTAAATAATGTGTTGCAATAGTGTGCAACACCCTTAAAAATAACAAATTGCGTTACTTTTTCTGGGAAGTAATAATGTGTTGCGTTACTTTTCTGTTAATTGTCTGACCTGCTCGGCTTGCTGGTTATAATAAATAAATAAAAAACAGTTCTATATTTGGCAAATGTAACATCCTTTTCACACCAAAAGTGAACTGAATCTGCTGGCATTCTGGATTGCAGAAGAAGAAAATACAACATTCTTTCTTCCGGAAATTAAAAAAGTGTTTTTTAACTAGTCATTTTTGCTTATTGGTATGATATTGGTTGATTTGGATCATCAAATGTCAGCAACAAAGACATTGGTTAATAAAGTGAGGTTAAATACACATTATTTAACATTTAATTATTGCATTTTCCTAATGTTTTGAATTTGCATTTCATGGTTTTTATTCATTTTGAGGAATACTGAATCTTTTTTGTGCAAGTGAGATTAGGAGTGGTGCCAGTCAATAAATTGGAAAGTTTATCTGAAAAAGTAACTCAGATATTTTGTACATTTAAATCTAATGTTACTTTACAGATCACAAAAAAACACCCCCAGCACTGGTTTACTGTTGGACTGCTTGTTTGACTTTCTTATTTATTTTATTTTTCAGGAGGAGAAAGAACAATTGATTGAATACCGCAGCACAGTGGCCAGCCTTGTAGGTCGGGCCAAGTCTGTAGTCCAGCTCCGCCCACGCAGTGCAGAGAGTAACCTGGGCACCACCACGCCCATCCGTGCCATCTGTGACTACCGACAAATAGAGGTATCACATGCTCCAGATATCTCACCATCACAACCTACTCGCTTTGCCTTACCTCATCACATCACAACCCTGCATTGATCCTTATGCTCTTAAGAACTGAGCTATGATTACAGAGCTTTACGTTTGTGCCCCAATCCTAACCCCACTTGAAAACAGTCTTTTAGTTTTCATCTTCTGCTCCACTCTGGGTGCTAGCCAGAGACCTTCTGCACATATTTAGTCATAAACCACCCTGGAGCTGTGAAGGCAAGTATATGGGGAAAAGGTGCAAGTGACCAAAGATATTTCCAGATCTGTCCTGTGTGTGCCACCTTAGCTGTAAGCAAAGAAAGGTGTGTGAACAAACCTGCTGTAGCGGATCTAATCTGCCATTTCGTTGCTTTTCATTCACACATTTCACATACAGTACTCTACTTAATTGAAATGATGAAATAAGAGGCTGTCATTTATTGAGGATTCATTTTTTTATGCAAAATACTCATAAACACTCAATCACTCCCAGCTGTGGCCCTGTTTCTTTTCCTGATCGCATTATTTCAGTCAGGCGAGATCTGCTAAATGCCTGAAAGTAATCTCTTTCTCCCTCCCTATCCCCTTCCCCACCACCCTTTTCTCCCTGTCCTCCCCAAATCTTCTTTTTTTTTTCCTTTATCCCTCCATTTAACCCCATCTTTCTCTCTCTGTTCACTTCCTTCTCCCTTCCTGTGTATGTGTGTCTGCGGGGCTGGGCAAGGCCAACTCTCAGGTACTATTGCCGACCGTTCTCCTCCTCTGACCTTTGCTCTCTGGCCTGGCCCTGCACACAAGGGACCCCTGCTTTAACTCAGGCATCCTATACACTGTTAATGTGAAATAGGGTTTATATTATGGATTAGTTGTTTTTTAATTTTTTTTTTTTTTATGTTTTATCCCAGCCCAAAATGTCATCAGTTTTCCATGGTATGAGCATGTTGCATGGTGACTTGCCATGTCATTTTTAATTCTATTGTATTTATCAGTCACAAAGGTGGTAACCCTCTGTTAGATTTAATTTCATATCCATACGTAATATATATATATATAAAAAAAGCATAATGTTCACTGTGTGCAAGGGGATAGGGTGAGAGTTGAGGTGGGGCACTAGAAAGTGCTCTCACATCTTTTCTTTTCTTTTTAATATGCTTAAATGACCCAGGAGGCTTTTAATCTTGTTGCTTTTAGCGTTATTGTAAAAGCTAGGCTGAAAAAGTGAACAAGATAAGAGCTTTTGAATATATTTTTTTTGCCAGTTATCAGTTGTAAAGATATGTTACCACAGTAAGGCATTATTCCATGAAATTCATATTTCATGTAATTCAACTCATATGAAATTCCATTAGCATTAACATTTGATTCCTCATCCTTTGGTTAATATTTGAAATCTCTTTACTTTGACCATCAGTTCTGCGTTTTCTGCTCAATTTGCTCCCTTACCTGTTATGTTTCTTCCATCCCTTTTTCTCTATCACTCTATTTCTATATCTCTCTTTCTCAGATCACAATCAGCAAAGGAGAGGAATGTGTATTGGAGGATAACTCTCAGAGGACTAAGTGGAAGGTCATCAGTCCTCAAGGAAACGAGGCCATGGTGCCATCTGTGTGTTTCACCATTCCTCCCCCTAACCAGGAAGCCATCGACACTGCCAGCAGGTACAGTACACAGATGTTAATGAGGGTCTCACACACACATGCAGGAATAACATACGGCTTAGAAATAATGTGCTATGTTTATGTAATGTTTGGCCTAGTAAGTAACCACCCAGAATGCCCTATAACCACCTATAAACAGGTACAGAAACTAGGTTTAGGTACAACCCTAGTGTTTTAGTGGCAAGTTTTGCACGGCCAAACCAGTGTTGTTAGTGCAAACTAACAGTGAAACTGTTAACAATCGTTTTCATTCATTGAAATAAAGCTATAATAAATGAAAATAGAAATATTAGATGACATTTTAAAAGAAATAAGTACTAATAATGCTAAAACTGAAATAAATAATAATAATATATTTTATTTGTAATGCACCTTACATTTAGAACAAATCTCAAAGTGCTACAGTTTAAGATCATAAAAGCATTGTAAAAATAGACATAGTAGTTAAAAGTCAACAGTTCTGCTAAAAAGAAAAGTTTTTAGTTCTTTTTAAAAGTCTCAATAGGACTAAACTTTTCTTTTTAGCAGAACGTTTGACTTTTAACTACTATGTCTATTTTTACAATGCTTTTATGTAAGCTAAATAGAAATATTAAACAAATATAAAATGACCAAAGCACATAACTGAATTACTACATCTCAAACTAAGGTTAAAATGAAAATAAAAAATCTAAATATTAATAAATACTCTCATAGTGTATAAATAATAGTAAAGTAACACTAGTAGGGCAAACACCACTCATGTTGTCTTGGAAAAATACTGCTTTTTTCATTTTGAATGTGAATTGCGCATTTTAGCACAAGGGACATTTAACAACTATACATTTTGATTTTGTATTGTCTTTGTTGCATAAAAAACTATATAAACTTTGTAAGATAATCTTTTCTTTTTTTTTATCTGTGAATAGAATGGAGCAGATGTACCAGAACGTCATGTCTCTATGGCACCAGCTGCATGTTAACATGAAGAGCGTAGTCTCCTGCCACTACCTGCAAAAAGACATAATAAATATTTCCTCCTGGAGTCTGGACACAGTTAGTACAATAATTCACTCAGTTTCCCTCTCTTATTGGAACTCTTTCAGAGGTTATTCATAACCATGTGCCTGTCTCTCTAGATGCGCTTGCAGTCCCCAACAGAGAGGCAGCAGGCTTTAAACAACCTGGACGCCCACTTGTCCGACTTCCTCACGGATAGTCGCGAGAGCGCACTTTTCACACCGACTGAACGGTGTGAGCTAGAGAGAGAAGCTGAGGACTGCCGTGAACATTGTCAAACGCTGCTGGTTTCTTTGGAGACAGGTAAGAAGGTTACTGTGTCTGTGTGTTGTAATCATTTTATGAAACTATGTGACATGGTGCTCAGTATTTTCTTTTTCGTCTTTCAGTGGAGAAGGATGAGTTGGCCTCTCGTGCTTATCTCTCAGAGCTGCAGAGCATCAAGTCGCACCTAGAGGAGGCAGAGAGCAGGCTGATGCACGGCATACAGACTCCACACCCCAGCACATTATCAGGAGATGTCGCAGACACTGCAGTTCACATAGCAGAGCAAGAGGTGAGTCATCAACACAACTACTCCCTCTACTGAGCAATCACTGTGTACTACAGTTTTTAGCTGATATGCATGGATAAACCAGTCAGATTAACTAAAAATGCTTTTTCATGAAATATTTTTCAGTATGTTGCTGACAGTGATCAAATAGTTAAACGTTTTATAGTATTATTTATTTCAAGTAGCTTTAATTTTTGTTTTACATTTTCATTTTAGTTTATGTTTTTGTAATTTTATGTGCTTTTTCCTTTTTTATTAGGTTTGGTTTTTATAAATTTCATTATTTATGAAATCATTTAAATTAATTTAAATATTTCTCTATTGATTTGATTTAGTTTTATTTCAGTTTATTTCCTTATTAAATGATTTTACGAGCACAGTTTTTTTTTCTTTTGTTCGACGTCCCAAAAAAAAAAAAGAAATTATAATATATAAATAAGAAATGTAAACATTTTAAATACCTTTTAGGCTGTTTATGTCTCTTTCATGAACATATCACATTTTCTACTTTGTAGCAGGAGACACTTAAAGGGATACTCCACCCAAAAATGAAAATTCTGTCATCATTTACTCATCCTCAAGTTGTTGCAAACCTGTATGAGTTTCTTTCTTCTGCTGAACTCAAGGGAAGATATTTTGAAGAACAATTGGCACCATTGACTTCCATAGTATTTTTTTTTTTTTTTTACAATGGAAGTCAATAGTGCCAAACAACTAATCGTTCTTTAAAATTTCTTCCTTTGTGTGTATATTATATAACAATAGTAAGCATTTTATTGGACAAAAATTAGGATATGCTTCTGATTTCAAGTTTATTTTGCCAGCTTTTAGGAGAACAATAGCAGCTTAACTCAAATCTAACAGACATTTAATGACATTTTCATATAGTCTTTATAAATCTGAATATACTATGAATCTTTTAATGGTGTTGCAGAAGCTACAGCAGAATTTAAAGGGTCTTCAGTCAGATTTGGGTGAGGTTTCTCGTCGCTGCGTGAGCTTCTTTGAGGAGAAGCCTACTTCTTCCAGTGTGCCTGTCTTGCGTTCTGAGCTCAACCTGGCCGTAGAGCACATTGAGAAACTCAACTCCCTCTCCTCCGTTTATCTGCAAAAGTTAGTGCACAGTCATTTCAATACATATATGCATGTTCTCTACCCTAATTAGACAAGCCCTTTTTAATGTTGATGACAAACATGATTTGAGTGTCTTTTTTTTACATCTGCCAGACTGAAGACGGTAGATGTGTTGATGAGAAGCCTGCAGGCTGCAGAAAGTCAAGTGAGAAAGAATGAGAGTCGACTAAGTGAAGAGGATATTGTTCCTGCTGATACTGCTGCAATCCAGGCCTTGGGAGAGCAATTAAAGGTGAGACACTCAGACACTTCACTAGTTGATTAATATCTCATCTAGAGCCGCACAATTAATCATTAAAACTAGGGCTGTGAAACGATTCATCTCGATTAATCACATCCAAAATAAATGTTTGTGTTCACATAATATATGTTTGTGTAGTGTGTATAATTATTTTGTATATATAAATACACACACATGCATGTGTATATTTATATGTATTTATACAAAATTAATATTATACATAAATATAAATCTTTGATATATCAATAACACATTTTTCTTAAATATATACATGCATATGTGTGTTTATATATACAAAATAATTATACAGACTACACACACATATATCATGTAAACACAAACTTTTATTTTGGATGCGATTCATCACGATTAATCGCTTCACAGCCCTAATTAAAACATTGCGAACTTGATTCAAACATCGACACAATCTTATTCCTAAATGACGATGATTCAGCTATGTCTATTAAACCTTTTGTAAGATCAAAACGCGTTGGCATTATGTGTTTTTAACCACACAGTATTATTATTTCTGTTACTATAATTCAGATTTCACAGAAGTACTAGTACACAGTTTATATTTTGTATATAAACACTGTCTATGTCTATGGTAGCGATCAAAATATAGAGTAAATCAGCTTTTGAAAGTAACTTGATGCTTCAAAAAAAGGTTGTATCAATTACATCATTACACCAATAGATGGCGAATAAGTGACTTTAAAAAAAAAATGTATTTGTCATTGAAGCCACCTTTTCACTATCTCCAATATTTGCATACAATTTTCGCATTTCGCCCCCAAGTGGCAGTCGCAGAGAGCGTTCAAACTGCTCATGAAATAGCCACTCTTATTCACCATGGAAAATGAAAAAAATAAAAAAAATAAAGAGACATTTAGAATAGATAAAAATGTGCGATTAATCATGTGTTAACTATTACAATTAACTATAATATTTTAATCTTTTGACAGCATTAGTAATTATAAAATACTTTTTCGGGTATAATTATTCATAACTGCCAATTTTTCTGAAATTGTGTTTAAAGAATAGTGCAAAAATATTTCTCACCTCCTGCTCCATAGTTTTCATTAGTAATGCATACGGTCATGTGGCCACGTTCTGTCAAGCTGCAAAAGTTCTTCATTCAAATTGTAACTTCACGCTGCTCCTGTACTACTCTGTATTGGATATTCTAAGGACTTGCCGTCTATTGTTTGTCAAAAATAATCGATAGGTGATGTTTTACCGTTTTGATAGCATTTCATACTCTGTATTTCACACTTGCAGAAATGGCATTCAGAGCTGGAGGAACAGGACCACATATTCCAGAGTTTGAGTTTAGAGGTCCAGCAGGCTAGAGAGGTCGGAAGCCAGCTCAGCCAGTTACACTCTGACCGCAGCCCTGAACTGGACCGCTACCAGGAGAAAGCACACCAGCTCACTGAGAGGTGGAGCGGAGTGCGCAGGCAAATGGAGACACGGTGAGTTGTTTAGAAGTGAAAAGAGGGAGGTAGGGAGAGGATGTCTACCAGTATATTCAGTAATATTCCAGATTGTAAAACAAATCGTAATGTCACATAGGCAAGCGGATCTTGAGGTGTTGGGTTCAGTGCTGCAGCAGTACAGAGAAGGGCACAACTCTCTCATCTGCTGGATAGAGGAGACCACAGAAAAACAGGAGAACACACAACCCGAGCAGACCGACAGCAGAGCTTTGTCAGAACAGCTCGCACAGCAAACGGTGAGAGAGGACACGGATATTGATGGATGCTTCTCAATGTTGCAAAACAAGTCAGTGTTTGATTCAGGATCTGTTCTTTTGCAGGCCTTGGTGGCTGAGATCGAACAGAACCAGGTCAAACTGGATGAGTGCCAGACGTACTCTAAACAGTACTGCGCTGCTGTTAAGGTAAGCACCAGTGTCGCTACTGCTTAATGCCAGTCATCATGGAGCGATAGAAACATAAACACTTGGTTCACTAAATACATTTTTCCATACTATACCTTGACTTTCTGTGCAGTATTATTTTTGAATGAGCTTTTATTTTTATTTTTTTATTTTTTTTTCATCATGTGCTTTTGTCATTTTATATATATATAATATTTATTTAAGTTTAATTTATTTTTATTTCAGTTTTAGTTTTGTTTTTTATTTCCATTTAATTTAGTGCTTAAACTTATGCTATGTTTTTCGCCAAGGCAACAGGACAAATTTTCGTTTAAGCAACTAATATTTATATCATATTTTACAATTCAGCTTTATTTCAGCAGAAATGTTATTAATAGTTTTACTTAATGAAAATAACCCCATTTCTATCTATGCAATAGGACTATGAACTCCAACTTATGACATTCAGAGCTTTTGTTGAATCAACCCAGAAGTCCCCTGTGAAAAGGAGGAGGATGCACTCTTCATCAGATGTCATCACACAGGAGGTAAATGCAAGGAAACCAGGACATTAATTTAATGGTTATATTGTTTTTTTGTGTTGACCTTAAATGCTTTAATGACATTGTTCTATTCCGTCTTAGTTTATGGATTTACGCACACGTTACACAGCTCTCGTTACCCTGACAACACAACATGTCAAGTATATTAGTGATGCACTACGACGATTGGAGGAGGAAGAGGTGTGTTATGCTTTTCTAAGCCTCATAACTTTTACTTTTTGCATAAGTATGCATATAATGAAGACAACATTAGGTTTCATCATCTGATGTATCGCAAATGAAAATGTTTCCCCTTTGCGGTACAGAAAGAGGTGGAAGAGGAGAGGCAGGCACGAGTGGGGCAGGTCTCAGAGATGCTTGGCTGGGTCAAGGGCCTACAGGAACGCGCTGGAAGATCTGCCGAGCCATCACTTGCTGCCCAGCAGGTACTGTTAGTGTTAACTATTAGAATATTACATATTTCTAGGTACTCTACAGACAGTAGTGAATCAATCATCACTACGTAGATGTAAGTGGCTTTGAAAATACTGTTTCTGTCCCATTTCTAGGCTATTAGTGAGCAGTTAGCAGCTAAAAAAGAGGAAGTTGCTGAGGCTATCAGGAGCACAGAAGTCTTCCTGATGTCAAAGCAGGCCAGCAAGTGAGTCTTCCCTATACATTTACATTTTACATTTATTAATTTATTAATTTAGCTTGCGCTTTTATCCAAAGCGACTTACAATTGCTATCGTGTCAGAGGTCGCACACCTCTGGAGCAACTAGGGGTTAAGTGTCTTGCTCAGGGACACATTGGTGTCTCACAGTGGATTTGAACCCAGGGCTCTCACACCAAAGGCACGTGTCTTATACCTATACACTATACGTTTTTCAACACATTTCATACCAAGTGCTACCAAGTCAGTCCAGTCAATGTCAGCATACAAATACTAAGTCATTTCAGGTCATATTTAAATTTATATTATATTTTTTTCTTGAGGTTAAAACTTTTTAGTCTTATTAAAGTGTGTGTGTGTGTATGTATGTATGTGTATGTATATATATATTTTTTAATTTTTTTTAAGAAACTAGAAATAAGTTATACATGGAAAATGCATTTTGATAAAATGTAATGAATGTATTTTTTTTGCAAGTAAAGACATTTAATGATTTATTTATATTATTTATAGTTTATTTGACTTTAAAAAATATACTGGAAAAAAAAGTATACTGAAAAATATTTTTTTATTTTAATGTTTCAGTTGTGTGCCTTGGCCCTTATTTTAATTTTGATTATGATATTATATTATATTTTTTATAGTATTGAAGTATTTATTTTTCAATAGTATATATTTTCAGTTTTATTTTTTTATTTTGTTATGTGCCTATTTTAATTTCAGTTTAATTATATATTTATCTCTTTATATTATATATATTTATAAATGAAGAGTTCAGATGCAAAAGCCTCTAAGTGCCATTTGAAATTCTCTTCTAGAATAATCATTTCATCAAGCTTGTATATTTAAATTCAGTAATTTCACTTAAATGGCAATTCATAGGTAATCTTCATTGCCATTTAAGTGAAATTACTGAACTTAAATATACAAGCTTAATAAAAATTAACATTCTTGAAGAAAATTTCAAATGGCATTTAGAGGCTTTTGCATCTGAACTCTTCATATATTTATGTATTTATCAAAAAAGTTTTGAATATTTTATTTCAATGTACAAATCGGATTTTTAGTAGTTTTAGTTAACAATAACAACACTGATCTCTTGGGGTGCTTTATGTGCCATAGTTTGTGAACAGCTACACTATCATGTTCACATCCACCCAACATAAATGTTAAATAATCATGCACTTAAACACAAACACACATTTTTATTAATGAAGCGCATATATCTTTAGGCTATCATCTGAAGAGCGTGCCCAGGTGGTCTCGCAGCTGGATGAGCTGAAAGCCAACTACACTCAACTGTGTGACAGTTCTGCCACACAGTTGCAAAAACTGGAGGAGCAGCTGGCCAAAGAGGAGAAGCACAAGGTAAAGTTAGATGGCCAAGCGGAAGTCGCCAGTTACAGCAATGTTCAACTTTGCCAAAGCGAGCTTCAACAGCCAAAAGCGTGTCTTGAAACAATGCTTCTGAAATATATTGCTTCAAATATTGGTCTTTGTTATGGTCAAGTATTGTCAGTGTGCTAGTGATATGCTATAGCAGTGTGTATGTGTGAGCTTGAGCGAGTGAATCATTTTTGTGTTTTTTATGTTGCCTGTCACGTGTGGTTTAACCTTCATCATCACGTTCATACATCTCACAGACATTGTCTTATTTAACAGTTATAAAAAAATTAATAGCATGGTGTGAAATCCAAATCCTTTAATTCAACATGCCTGATATCATGTCACCCACACCATCTTTATTTGTCATATTAATCAAGCACATCTGCTTAAACGCAACTCATCAGCTCATTAGAGTAGAATAGTGTGATAAAAGCTTTTTGGCATCCGAAACAGCTTCCATAGCCACTTTAGTGTCCATTAAAGCCATGTTTAAATTGTAGTTTAGATTTTTTACATTTCATTTTAATAAGGCACAGATAAACAGGTAAATATAAAGGCATAAATGTCATTATATATTGTTTTGTTTCCATATGCAGTCACAAACATTGCGTGAAACTGTGCACTCATACTTCAGTCATTAAGTAGTGATTACTGTGTGTACAATGGTGTGTTTGTGTTTGAATGGCCCAAAGTTAAGTTGAAGATATAAACAAAATAGATTCATCAGAAAACGTTGGTCAAAAGATTTTCCTAGGGATTGGTATAGACTGAGCACAAAAAGCCAGCTAAACCTCCACCTCACTGAGCATGATGTGTCCAGATCACAGCTGTATGTTTGTTTGTTTGTGTGTCTGTATGCGTGATATTGTCTGTTTTCAGTCCGTGTGTTTAATACTGTAATTCTTTGTGAAATTTAATCAGCATTTTGCTTCAAAATCACTAACAGCTGCCGGGAGAAAATGTAAGACATCTCAGAATTGGGAGTAAGAAAAAACTGTTAGTCAGAATACAGGACTATCCTTAGTTGATCAGTAATAGAAAACCAACCAAGATCAAACTCATGGGTAAGTCTCAAAACATGTTTTAAAAAACAATGCATATGGTAATAGAGGTATGAAAGTAGTGTGTTAGTCAGTCCCGGGCAGCATATCAGGCAGCTGGAGTGTGGCATGCAGATCGCTAACATCCGGCTTCTCACCCTATTGCACCTCAAACCGTCGAACCCTCGGTCTATCAGTGTGTGTGCGTACCACCCCACACGGTAAGTAGTGCTTGCTTTCTCTCTTACTTCTGCTTTCTTTCTGACCTAGCAATATGTTCTCAAAATTTCTACCTGTTTTTTCTTTGTCCTCTTGTATTTTTAGCGCTCAGTTTGTGCATTTTTTGCATGTTTTTTTTGCACACTGCAATGCTGAGCTGTCGTGTTTTTTGTGTATAATAATAAATAAATAAAATTATACTTTGCAATTTTTTTTTACATTTATCTTATACTCATGAATAATGCATGAATGTTAGTATTAAGATGATGAGACTTCTTATGTTGGCTTAAGTTACTCCAACTATGGTGGCGGGCATTTTTCTCTTTGCCTCCTAGTTAAATTGTGAATAAAAAAAAACTAAATAAGAACCATTCTAAAAAGTATGATTTTTATCTCTCCATAGGATCAGAAAGTCATCGCTGGAGTAATTGACCTTGGCACCATGGAAACCTTTCCAGTTTTTCAGGCAGCACAGCGTGGCCTCATAGATCAAGACACCTGTCATGTACTGTTAGAGGCACAGGTTGTCCTGGGTGGTCTACTTCAGCCTGACTCGCCTGATTACCTGTCATTAGATCAAGGTCTTTCCAGTGGTTTAATTGATAAACATGCCTGGCAATCACTGAAAGATTTAGAGACTGCCCTTTGTCTTGTCAACACAGCAAAATTTGCTGAGTGTCTGGAATTACCAGTAGCCACTGCTGTGAAAGAAGGTGTCATACAGGAGCTGGTGGGGCTCCGTATACTTGAGCTGCAGATAAGCACTGGCGGCCTGAAGGTTGGTTCCAATGGAGAAATGATCAGCCTGGATAATGCAAGGCAGAAGGGATTGCTATCCACTGATCTTTGTCAAAAGCTGCAGTCCTGTCTTTACCGACGAGAACTTATTGATCCAAATACGGCAGAAAAACTAAGTCTGGTTGACTTTCAACAGCGTTGTGTTTTCAATCAGGAGACGGGTCTGCGCTTTTTTCCAATTAAACAGAAACCAGGAGGAACTGTCTGCTTATGTTCTGGCAGAAAGGTGGGAATATTCCATGCTGTTCAAGAGGGCCTCGTCGACCGCCATGTCGCAGTTCGTCTTCTGGAGGCTCAGTTGTTTGCTGGAGGTATCACAGATCCCCGGTCAGGACACAGATTGACCGTTAATGAGGCTCTCCGACATGGTCTGATGGATCAGGACTTGGCCTGCACCCTCATGACACGACAACTTCAAGCAGGGGGAATAATAGATCCAGTCAGTGGGGACCGTCTAGAGTTGGATGAGGCCATTCAAAGAGACCTCCTCTCTCGTCGCATAGCCTTACGTGTACTGGAATCTCTACAGTCTTTTTCAGTTATACTGTGGCCAGAATCAGGAGAGCTGCTTACTGTAAGTGAGGCACTTCAGCAGGGTGTCGTCAGTAGAGAGCTTGCTGCAAAGGTCCTGAGAAAACGTTGTTCTGTTGGTGCGGTATATCTGCCTGAGAGTGGACAGGTGGTCCCTCTGCATCAAGCTGAGAAGATACTTCAGCCTCAGGCACTGGAGATCCTAAAACAGACCCAGGTTCCAGATGTCCTTTCCCATGTGACTCAGTCAAGTTCCTCATATATGAAGCGATTGAGTTCAGGATCATCACCCCCTGCGTCATGTGCAGGTTTCAGTTATGATTTTTCCATCACAGGGGAAGGCAGGTCAGAAGAGCAGGTTCAAAACCAACTTCTCACTCAAGTTATGACACACAGCTACATTGATGCTCACTCAGGAGAACGCCTAGTACTACTGGAACCAGAATTGGTAGAACTATGTGAAAAAGTTAAAACCACAAACCTTGCCAGACAGGTCCAACAAAAAATCTCTGACAACATTAGAGTTTCTGTGGACAGCAAAGCTATGGGTGGGATTGAAAAGGATTTGGAAGTAATTGAAGAACCAAATATTATACAATATGAAACTGCCTGCAAGGACTCTATGGAAGAGACTATAGAAGTGGCAGGGGAAGATATTGCACCCTTGGTGGTCAATGAAAGAAACTTAATAGAGACTTTGGTTTTGCAAAACAAATTTCTGTCTTCAGAAGAGCTTGGTCAACCCAAGATAAAAGGTCAAATTGCCTTCAAGATCACTAATATAGGAGAGACAATAGAAAGAACAGAAGAACATCTTGCACTGCTGACAGAAACAAACGGAGCCTTTAAAGTGTCTTCAAATGAAGTGATTAGGCAAGAAAAAGTTTTGTCCTCGAGAGACTATGTAGATGTTAAAGATGACATTGACAGAAAGAACACTGACATGAGTAAGACTACAGAAGGACCAGGGGAAGAACTTGCATGCTCGACAGACACAGACAACATTTTTATTGAGCCTTCACATGCAGAGGTTTGGCAAGAGAAAATTTTGTCATCAAGAGAAGGTAAAGAACCCAAAATTAAAAAAGATGAATTTGAGAGCAAGGCTGATCTGGTTGAGACTGTCAAAAGAGCAGAGCCTTCACATAAAGAGGACTGGCAAGAGAAAGTTCTGTCACCTGAAGGAAATGAAGAAGGTCAAATAGCTTGGATGGACACTGCAATACAGAGTGAGACATTAGAAAGAGCAAAGGAAGATCTTGCACCTTTGACAGGAGCAGCCAGAGCTTTTATAGAGCCTTTATATAAAGATAAAGTCCTGTCATCAGGACATTATCAAGAGCCCACGATTAAAAAAGATGAAACTGCCTGCATGGGTGAGATGAAAGAAAGACAAGAGGAAGATGTTGCAGCTTTGACAGTCTCAGAAAAAGCATATATAGAGCCTATGCATGAAGTTGTTTGGCAAGAGAAAGGTCTATCATTAGGACAATATGAAGAACCAATGATTATAAAAGGTAAAATTGCCTGGAAGAACACTGATATTGGCGAGAGAATTGAAAGAACACAGGGAGATCTTGCACCCTTGACAGGCGCAGAGGGAAATGTAATGGAGGTCTGGCAAGAGAAAGTTCTGTCATCAGGAAAATGTGATAAACCTAAGGTTAAAAAGGATGAAATTAACAGGAAGAACACTGAAATGGGTGAGACTATAAAGGAATCAAAGGAAGAATTTCCAACCTTGACAGGCACAGAAAGAGGTCAAATAGATTGGATGGACCCTGCAGTACAGAGTGAGACATTAGAAAGAGCAAAGGAAGATCTTGCACCTTTGACAGGAGCAGCCAGAGCTTTTATAGAGCCTTTATATAAAGATAAAATTTTGTCATCAGGACATTATCAAGAGCCCACGATTAAAAAAGATGAAACTGCCTGCATGGGTGAAACTAAAGAAAGACAAGAGGATGATGTTGTAGCTTTGACAGTCTCAGAAAAAGCATTTATAGAGCCTATGCATGAAGTTGTTTGGCAAGAGAAAGGTCTATCATCAGGTCAATGTGAAGAACCAATGATTGTAAAAGGTAAAATTGCCTGGAAGAACACTGATATTGGTGAGAGAATAGAAAGAACAGATGGAGATCTTGCACCCTTGACAGGCGCAGAAGGAAATTTAATGGAGGTCTGGCAAGAGAAAGTTCTGTCATCAGAAAATGTGATAAACCTAAGGTTAAAAAAGATGAAATTTCCAGTGAGAACACTGAAATGGGTGAAACTATAAAGGAATCAAAGGAAGAAATTCCAACCTTGACAGACACAGAAAGAGCCTTTATAGAGCCTTCACAAGAAGAGTACTGGCAAAAGAAAGTTCTGTCTCCTGATCAATATGAAGAAACCAAGATTAAAGCTAAAAAAAGTGCCAGCAAGAAGACAGATATGGGCAAGACTATAACAAGGACAGAGGAACACCTTGCACCTTCGACAGGGACTGGCCAAACCTTAATAGTGCCTTTGCATACAAGCTCAACCCTACCAAAGAATATATCAGATAAAAGAATGTTTTCTCAAAATCAAATTATAGATTCAACTCTAAATGAATCTGAAAATAAACAAACACTTGAGCTGGAACAATCAGAGAGTAGTGAGAGATTACTAGAGATGACTGAACAAAAATCATTTGACATGGGTGAAAGCAATGTACACTCTTCAATCCAAGATACTGTAAAATTAGGACAATATGATACGCTAAATATCAAGTCAGATGAAGTCAAGACTGCAAAACAGACAGAAGAACTAAAGGACATGGTTGAACAAGAGGTAAATAACGACATCTTTGATAAACCTGATGAAGATGAGAAATTATGCCCTTCAGAAATTAAGACTTTGCCTGTGGAACTAAGTGATGATGATGTGAAGCTTGAGAGTATGGCTATGGAACTGCAACAAGGTGGTCTTATAAGTGTAGGTGGCCAAAAAGTTCTCTTGGATGAAGCTCTGGCAAAGGGTTTGCTTCCAGGACACACTGCTGTTAAGCTTATGGAAAAAGCTGGTCTCTTTAATGGTTTTCTGGATAGCAATGCCTCTAAGTCTCTTAGTGTTGAGGATGTGATACAAGAAGGCCTGTTGGATGAGGACTTGATGACCTGTGTATTTAATTCAGAAAAGATTTTAGCCGGTGTCATTGATGTGGAGCGCGGTCGACTCTGCTCAATTAAGGATGCTGCTGAAGCTGGCCTGTTGGACTCCGATACTGCTTCTCGTCTCCTTGAAGCCCAAGTCGTGTCAGGGGGAATAGTTGACCTGCAAAGAGACAAGAAGGTATCAGTTACCCTTGCAGCCAACCTTGGGTTAATTGAAGAGGGTAGGAAGGAGAAGCTTCTTGCTTTGGAAAAGTCATGTCGGGGAAATGTTCAGATCCAAATGCAATGCAAACCAAGTTAGCACTACAGTTACAAATGAAAGGGGTGGTGGACCCAAAAACCAAAAAGACAGTCCCAATGGAACAAGCTCTTCAAAGTGGCATAATTGGTCAAAATGTGGCGCAGACGATTTTAAGTCAGCAGATTGCAGAAGGTGGCATTGTGCATCATGGCTCTGGTGTTCGCCTTACTGTTGAGGATGCGCTTGACCTTGGTCTCATGGATCACACAATTGCTCCAAAATTAAAAGCACTGGAAAAAGCTTTCAAGGGCCAGGCACCAACTAATTTAGATCCAGATGCTTCACTTCTTCAAGCATCTACAGGTTCCATTTATGATGATGCATCAAAAAGCAGGCTTACTCTGAGTGAAGCTGTTTCTAAAGGCCTTCTAGATGATGAAACGGCAAATAAAGCTATGGACTTACCAAATGTGAAAAGCGGATTGTTGGACCCTCATAACGCTCATATAGTGCCCTACTGTGAGCTGATAAACCAGGGTAAAATTGACATTGAGACAGGACAGAGATTCCTTGAAGTGAGACATTTCAGTGGTGTTCCACATAAACAAACAAATGAAATGATGACCTTACCACAGGCAATTAAAGCAGGCCAAGTGGATCCCATACCTGCAGCAAGAGTATTGCAGAGTCAAGCAGATACAGGTGGTATCATTAACATTTACAGTGGAGAGCGTTTGCCTCTTCTAGAGGCTATAAATAAAGGCTTTGTCGATAAAGACATGGCTAAATGTATTGCAACAAATCAAGTCTTAAAAGGGGGGCTGCTCAATCCATCCAGTGGACAGAAGGTCCCCAGCATCACTGAGGCAATTGGATATGGGCTTATATCCACAGAAATGGCTGCTGAACTTCAATATGACATGTACCATGTAGATGAAAATGAGAAGAAAAGTTCGAGAATATCATCCTCTTCAACAAATGGAACCCCTTGTCCTCATCTTCCTGAGATGGTATCCGATCAGGTCAGCCCTAATAAAATGTTACCTGAGAAAAATCTATTGAGTATACCATCACCATATCTTGGAGAGGCTGAGATAAAAGATCCAGATCCAGAGCTTGACCTTGACGTTGTTCCTGATTCAGAAAGCAATGAACAATCGGTTGATGCAGTGATGGAGGACAGAAATGATGCATCTTTGGAGGTCCTTACTGAATTTGCCTTGAAAGCAGAGAAAAGACTTCATCAGGCCATTAAAGAGATAGAGCCCATGAAAAGCAAAGATATCAAGTCACAGTCAATCCAAAGTCCTGAGCAACCCCAAGAGATTTCTGAGGTTACGAACTCAGCAGCTTCACATGACCACACAATAGAGATGGAAATCCAAAGGCAGACTGGATTCAATGAATCTGCAATTGCAAAAAATGAATCCACAAATAACAGCAAGGAACAGGTCCCATCTACAGAGCAAATAAAAGGAGAGACAGAGATTCAAAGACAGACAGGAAGTAAGCCTGCAACCTCTAAAGTCATTTTCTCAGACAGTGATGATGGCTTGCAAAACAAGGAACAAAACCCATCTATAGAGCAAATAGAAGGGCATAGTTTTAAGCTAGAAGCAGATCTGTTGTTGTCCAAAGCAGAGGGAATTAAGGACAGACAGAAGACTGGTTTGGATCCTTGTGCTTCATCCACAAGGACAGTTAAGGGACCAGGGAAGAAGAAAGGCAGAGGGAAAAATAGTAAGCAAGCTAAAGTAGAAAATGCTGAAAAGCCACAAGTTTCAGACACCTCAGCCAGAATTTTACCTATAGACAGTTTTACCACTAGTCAAAAGCCTATTATGAAAGACGACAAAGAGAAGGTGATCGAAGTACAGCTATCAGAGACAACCCATGCAAGTGGTGGTATTGCACCTGTGCCAGAGAGCGAGAATGTGCAAGGCAAAGATTTGGGAATGGGGATGGATAGAACTTCTAATATAACTAAGACCCCCAAACGTGAGTCTGATCATGAAAGCATTGCAAATCAGAAAGAGAAGACTCTAATACAGCATAGTGTCAAAACTAGAAAAAAAACAGACCCGGGTCAGGAAGTTATTGAGGTATTTAAGGACCTTGGCACTGAGATATCAGAAAAGAAGAGGAAGAAGAAAAGTAAAAAAGCTAAGCAAGTGTTTATTGAAGGACAAGAGAAAAGAGATGATGAGACTCCTAAAGAGCAGAAGACTGTGATCCCTGAGGCCCAACCTCAAAGCAATCAGTCAGATGAGAAAGAAAGTGAGAAGTGTGAACTTGAGAAAGCCAACCAGGCAACGGCACAGAAGGAAATACTTTTGATGAAAGCCAAGGAAAGCATTCTTAGGAAGGTGTTTGAGAGAGGAGTTAGTGAAAAACAAGCTGCTGAAGAATTGGAAGCAATGCGTCAAATAGCCAATAATGGAGAACGCTGCACGACCACCCAAGAGGAGACTTTTGTAGAAAAGACAAGCATTAAGCCTTCTCAAAGTAAAGAGGAGGGCAATAAGCTACAGCAAGTGGGACAAGAAATTAAAGAAAGGGTTGAAATGTCAGTGCCAAACATTGCAGAGGATGTTCTACCTGGGTCTGATACTAATGCATGCTCCTCAGTTAAAAAACAGGAAGAAGATCAACATGATATGAATCAGAATATTCCATCTAAAAATATCTCTAATGACATAGTAGATATGAACCAGAAAGAACTGGTTCCAATCCATAATTTAGAAGGGGAAAACAAAGAAAGAACAGCAGAAGAACAAAGTATTGAGCCATTATATACAGAAGATGAGAAGTTGATGGACTCCAATATTAAACTGACCTTGCCATCAAGCATTGCAGTGACTGACAATGTTGTTGCTAAATCAGCACCCCTCAAATGTGTCCCAGTAATGAAGGTCTCCAAAGAGCTTCTGTCAAATGAGGTGTGTACTCCATTACAAATTGACAAAACAGCAATGAAGAAGGCAAGGAATGAAGTTCATCAAGAAAGAGACAAGGAGCCCTCTTTCAGAGATTATGAAGCCACAGATAAACCTTCTATTCAAGAATGTACAATTTCCGGACTACCCCTTATGGAGGTGATCCCAGAGTCTGATATCACACAGAAAGAAGATGTGGAGGAAAATGCAGAGGGTTTAGTGGAGAGGCAGACTGAAGAAATTCAAAAAAATGTTGAAGAAATAAGCAGGGACACTACAAAAGCTAGCAAGGTAAAGAATAAAGATTTTTCTTAACTTTTTTATGTCAGTTACTGTTTACTTGATTCTTTTTAATGATTTTCCCTCTTTTCAGTCCTCACTAGCCCGACAAGAGTGCTTAGAGCATGACCAACAGATTGTGGCCTTGCTCTCCATGGTAAGACACATCGAAGTCCGCCTTAAGCAGCAGCAACAGCAGTCTGTTGGTCGAAGTCTCTCCACACTGGATGACATAATCAGACAGACGAAGGTACAAGCTTTATATTACAGCAACATTTTTGATGTAACAGGATCACCCAAAATTTTAAATTCTGTCGTCATTTACTCATCCTCTGTCGTTCCAAACCCATAAGACTTCGACAGGGATCTTCAAAACACAAATGAACAAATGTTTTTAATGAAACTTTGAAAAAGAGATCGTAAAACTAATCCATGTGAATTTTTTGAAGAGACATGATCGTTTTATACGCTGAACAGATTAAACTCAGACTTTGTTTCACATATCAAGCATGTTCGCTTGACATGCGAGAAACAATGTGGTTCATTCTCATGTTACGCAGCACGTTTAAAGCTTCCGCAAGAGGTTTGTTCTCGTGCGTCAAGCAGGTTCAGTTGACCTTCTGTTTTTGTTCGCTGGTCCATGTTCATATGCGACTTAAATTCAATATGTTCGTAATATAAAGTGCTTGTGTCTCTTCAGAAAATTACTTGGACTAAAACACTCATATGGATTAGTTTTATGATCTCTTTATGAACTTTTTGAAGCGTCACAGTGAAAGTTGGGTAGCTTTCAATGGCGGGACGGAAATCGTTAATATTTTGTTAGATAAATCTTAATTTGTTTAGAAGGTGAATGGAAGTCTTTCGGGTTTGGAACAACATAAGGGTAAGCAATTAATGACATTTTTGCTTTAAACTAAAAAAGGCTGTATTTTGATTTATTCTCTTTTCAGGTTCTTTTCCTGGAAATTACTGACTTGGAACCAGAAGTGCACAAGGAGACTAAAGCTGCCACACAGCTACTGGAGTCTCACCGTCAGGATGTTCCTCCTCAGCTGCTTATGGCCCTGAACAAAGATGCGCGAAACTTAGCCCGGGCTTACAATGCATCCAAGGACCTTGCCAAGAATACTTTGCAGGGGTTACAAGCACAACGTGATGCACAAAACGTAAGAAAAATGCATAGAAATTTTAGTTTAGAGGTTTTTCCATGCCAGAGCAGTTTCTTTTAAATTTCTGCACGGTTTTTATATTTTTGCAGGAAGCTGTAAGCAGTCAGCTGAAATCTTTGGAAGAGCAAATTGACAACCTTCTCATGTGGCTTAAGGAGACTGAGACACAAATGCAGGAAGAAACAGGGGCAGATGGACTGACATTGGCAGAGAACACTCGGAAACAACAGTTGTGCAAGGTAAAACATCAACGGTGATAATTGTAGTTATAGTGATGGCATCTTTTTCAGTCTTTTATTTTTATTTTTTTCCTTCGACAGCATATACAGAATTCTCTCGCTGCCCGATCCAATGAAGTCAGCAATGTGGCTTTCAATATTCAGGTGTTTATCTCTGAGCATGCACAGGACTTGCTGCCTGATCAGAGCAGGCATCTCCTTGGACAGCTGGAGAAGCTACAGAGGGTCTTTCACCAGGCTGTTGGTCTCAGTCATGCCAGGGCAGAGGCACTATCGGCTCAGCAGGCGATAGAGAATGAACGACTGAAGAAAGAACTGAAAGAAAAAGAAGAGAAAATGGAAAAAGAAAAAGAAGAGAAAATGGAAAAAGAGAGACAAACAAGGGATAGAGAGGTTTGCAAACGGATGAATTACCGCTTGTGCAGCTTTTTTAAGAACAAGAATATTCCATTTTACTTTTAACTTAATTCAAAATCAAGGAAAATGAATAATGATAAAAGGAAAACCACACTAATGCATGCATGAATATTTGTTAGCATGTTTGCTGCATTTTAAAATCAAAATGATCTTCATGTGCATGTACATTTTAGTATGTTCTACTTATTCGGGTAATTTTATAGAGCCAGTAATGCTTATCTTTTGTTTCAATAATGCTTCTGCAGGACTCCACAATAATGACTTGTGTTTGCTGGCCCAGTCAAGACAGTAGTTTAGATTTCTAGTTGCCTCACTAGCATTCTTTTAGCAACATATTTTATATGTGCCAAGAAAAATAATTGAACATAATAAGAAATCTTTATATAATGTTAATTTATTTATTTGGTAATATACAGTATATATATTCAGAAATTACAAAATTGTTGCAATTATAAATTATTACATTTGCAATAATATTAGAGATAACTATACCTTATTTAAATAAACATAATTCTTTATTGTTGAGCCCTGTTCTGTAGCCTCCTGCATTTCAAACTTGAGTTTGCTAGCTGCGTGTGTATGAACATAACATGTGTGTATTAACCTGTCTGCCTTGCTCTTACAGATTGCCTCAGAAGACACATTTGGAAAAGGCTAAATATTTAAATGTAGCCTCACTGTATAGCTTACGTGTTTTTTTTAAAGAGGAAAATATCCAGCTTTTATGTTTTTGTCCGAATGTCTTTGTTATTGTTCTGCTTCACTGGCCTGTTGTGTGTTTTTTGGTGCTTTGTGTGATGACTTTGGACACATCATGCTCAACGAGTGTACATTGTTTACTTTGTGTGAAACCTGGCATATTTATAATTGTGAGAGTTTGGTGGGCTTAAAAGAAATATGTGATTAGCACTTACTTATGATTATAATAGATCAAATGCAAAACTTTTTTTCCCGTCACTTTTCTTACTTCCTTTCTTATGGTGGGGTATATAGGTAGTGCAGCAGCAGAAGGCAGAATGCTCTCAAAAACTGGAGAATCTCACAATGTGGTTGGCGGGGGCTGCCAGCCTCCTGGCCAATCAGAAAGTTGGGGTTGAGTCAGATGACGTGAACGCGTTACAGCAGAAGCAAAGAGAGCTAAAGGTGAGGAAAAAGAGACACATCTGACATTTACTTATATATTGTCTATATTTTACAGAAAACATTGTTACTCTTTGTATCCTTTAACTATAGGAGGCAGAGAAGGACCTTCAAATCAAAAGTGACTTGTTGACTGATACGATCCGTTCAGTGGAGGAGTTCCTGTCTGACCGGGGTGACAGTCTGAGTCCTGAAGAGAGGGCTAAACTACAAGGGGCTCTTTCACAAATGAAGGAGCAGCACAGCTCACTTACTAAATCAATCCACTCCTCACTAGCTCAAGTAGACACTGCCATTGTCACAACACTGAAACAGAACACACAAAGAGTAAGCTGTTCACATATAATTTCTTTTTCAAATTCTCAGCATGTATTATTCATTTTTCATTCACTCATTGTCATGTTTTGCTTCTGCCCAAGGCTAAAGCTGAGGAGCAGATGCAGGAGACACAGGAAAGTATAGATACACTTCTCAGAGAATTGTCATCATTGGACGACTCAAAGAGGAGGTCATTTGGTGTCACCGTCACTGACAACCCCACATCTGTAACACAAGAGAATGCTCTGAATTCTCACAGAGACGTGCTTCAGGTCAGATTCTTAAATCAATGTTTTCTTAATGTCTCAATAATTCACAATGTTTAGTAACTCTATTCTAAAGTGCATTAAAGGAGAACTCTGGCGCAAAATGAACCTTTGGTCTAATTGAAGAGTTCAGATGCAAAAGCCATTTGAAATTTTCTTCTAGAATGATCATTTTTATCAAGCTTATATATTTAAGTTCAGTAATTTCACTTAAATGGCAATTCATAGGTAATCTGCATTGTCATTTAAGTGAAATTACTGAACTTAAATATATAAGCTTGATAAAAATGATCATTTTAGAAGAAAATTTCATATGGCACTTAGAGGCTTTTGCATCTGAACTCTTCAATTACACATTGGTACCTAGTCAACCGTTCTCATAGATTTGTTTCATGATAATCGAATGTAAAGAGTTTTATCTCTAAAAACTGTTTAGTGTATAACACTAGTAAATGGGGGCATATAATAAGTAAAAAGAAATCGCTATTTAATACCACTAACAAGGCTCAAAATAGCCCCACACTAACGCTGTAACATAATGAGGGTCCATACATGCAAAACAAAGCATTGAGAACTCTGTAACGGTACAGACCGTTTAATAAGAAGATATTTTATAAGGACAGTGCACTTCGTGTATACAGGCGGCGCCATCTTTGGAAAACAGTCTCGACAAGTCGAACCACGAACGCCGTTCATACAGTTCAGAAGTTCAGCTTACTTGGCACATCGTTCGTGGTTTGACTAGTCGAGACTGTTTTCCAAAGATGGCTGCTGCCTGTTTACACGAAGTGAACTGTCTTTATAAAATATCTTCTTATTAAACGGTGTGTACACTTACAAAGTTCCCTCATGGACCCTCATTATGTTACAGCGTTAGTGTGGGGCTATTTTGAGCCATATTAGTGGTATTAACTAGCGATTTCTCTTAACTAGCGATCAACACTAATTAGACCAAAGGTTCATTTTGCTCCGGAGTTCTCCTTTAATGTTTTCAGTTCTAAAGGAAGTCCACTCAGTTTTAGAGTTGTAAAGTGAGTTTACTTAAGTCTATAGTTCAGTTTTAATGTTGTAAATGAAGTTTACCGTAGTTAACTCTAAAGTCAGTTTCAAAGCAAGTTGATTCAGTTGTAAATTTTGGTATGTTCTAATGTCAATTTTAATGTCTGTTTAGTTCAGTCAATTCTGAACATTTCAAACAATCGCTTTGACATTTTGGCTTTTCTTTATTGCACCAGACCGAGCTGCAGCAGTTACAAGCTCAACAGGCTCACCTTCAGCAGGTGGCCCAGTCTGTCCGCTCCCTCCTGGAGCAACCCGACTCCAGTGTGCCACCGGAGGAGAAACAACGATTGCGAGCAAAGCTGGACCGACTACAGAGTCAGCATCAGGAGCGTCTCCAGAAATGTCAGGACAGACTGAGGCAGGTAGATGCCCTCAGAGATGAGTTTGCTAAGTTTGTGCAGGAGCATGGAAACCTGGGAACATGGCTTGATCAGAGTGAGCAAGAGCTACATTCTCTTGGGGAAGGAGAAACAGATGCAAAAGGCCTAAAAGACAGGATAGAGGAGCACAAAAAGGTATTAAAATATACTGACGGTGATGTCTAACATAAATGTACTTCAGGGAGAAAATAAAATGCTTTAAAATGCTGTGTTTTTCTGTATTTTCAGCTTGCAGAAGATGTCATCTGTCACAAAGCAGACCTACGTTTCGTGTCTATCTCTGGTCAGAAGGTTCTGGATTCTGTCCAGGGTGCCCTGGAGAGGGTGGGCAGTACTGATCCAACTCTGGAGGTAACCAGACAGCTAGTGAGTGACAAACTCCAAGATGCAACCCAGCGCTACAATTCCTTGCACAGCAAGGTGGGTACAAATCAGAGCCTCATATTCTCTCAGTCTGCAATGACATATAACGTACTGAGTGTTTTGTGTTCTGTCTATCAGTCCTCAGAACTCGGCACCCGTCTCTCAGGTCTTCAGGAGCGATACCAGCACTACCAAGATGAGGCTGCTTCTTTAGACACTTGGCTAAGAACTCGGGAGCAAAATCAGAGTGTATTTAAACCCAGTGGAGAGCAATCAGACACCCAGACATTGCAGCGCACTCTCAGTGCTGTACAGGTTGGATTAAACTGTTAAGCTCACAAACAATTTTACCATATAGATAAACTAATGGAAATTTTTACCAGCAAAATTTCGTTTCCATAACCCATTAGGAATCCTCCTGATTAATCAGCTTTTTTTTCTCTCTTTTGCTGTCTTCTCTCAGCTGTTGCAGGATGAGTTGGCGGAGCGTTCGGTACAGCTTGAGAAGGTCAAGAGAGCAGGAAAAGATCTGGTCAGCACTCAGGAATCCCCAACTCTCAAAAATGCAGATATTAACAATATTACAGGTAATTTCATTCTCACCACCAGCAAATAATTTGTGTAAAGGAGGTTCATTAAAAAAAAAAAAAAAACAGAACGTACACTACAACTGAAAGGTTCAGTGTCTGTAAGATTTTTAAGTGTTTTTTTTTTTTTTAAGTTTAATGTGGAATATTATAATACAAAATGACTGCTGTCTATTTTAATATAGTGTAATATGTAATTAGGGATTCCAGTGCTTAGCGCTGAAACCCTATTGTAAATGTAAGAATTGAATTATTATTATTATTAATATATAATAGATAATAGGTCAAACCGTAAGGCCTAGAGACTTGAAACTTGGAGGGTTGGTACTGTAAGTACTCCCCGTCTACTCTGGGCCTTGCTCTGATCAGCCAGACAGTGGCGCCACAGTGACCAAAACAAAAAAATTAAGACAAATGGCCATAACTTTAGAACAGACTCAAGTGTCCTGCAACATTTCAGTCATACATTTATTAGTACCTGTTCAGTACATTTCTAGTGATGTATGTTTATGATGTGTGTCAATATGTGTAGTGAATTGGCTTGTATGATCTGTTTCATACTTCTGAACTTGCCTTAATGGTTTTGAGATTGAGACAGCCCTTATAATGGCAGACTCCCTGATCAGTGCCCTGACTACTGAACTAAGGAACTGATTGAGACGCACCCTATGTCTATTTGAGCCTGTTTCACAACTCTCTGGAATATTCATTTTCGATTCATTTTCAGTAAAGTATTTTATGATTGAAAGTATAATTTTCAGTTATCATTACAAAATAAACCCTCAGAACTAATACAAGACTTGATCTCTATTTTATTTTGTGCTAATGACACTTTACATTTATTCCTTGTATATAATTTAATCTTCTATTATATTTCAGATGCTTTGGAAAAGCGCTTTGAAACCCTGTCTGATTCAGTATCAGTGAGAGCAAAACAGCTTCAAACAGCTGTTGCCCAATCAGTCAGCGTTCAGGAGGGTCTTAAAGCACTGCTGGCATGGTTAGATGGCCTACCGTTATCACCTGGATCAGTCCAGCCCACTGCTCAAGCAGTTCAGGAGGCCCTGACACAAAATCAGGTATTTTGTTAAATGCACCATCATGGTCGTCAGTATCAGAGATCTTTAACCAGAAAATATTTTATGTAACCCCGACAGAAAATACGCCAGGAGCTTCTTTCGAGGCAGGGAAGCGTGGATGCCACCTCGGACTCCGTGTCCAAGCTCCTAAAGTCTGGAGATGCATCGACAGCATCTGGCCTGCAGGAGGCACTGCAGGACTTGAGTCAGCGCTATACAGCAGCCCAGGCCAAGCAAGCAGATAGAGAGACTGAGTTGCGGGGACTTTTGCCCAAGTTGGAGAGTTTTGAGCGACAGAGCGCAGACCTCCGCAGCTTTGCGCAGAGTCGAGAAACGGCTCTCAGCCCAGTGGGGCAACCAGACTGCAGTGTGGATGACTACAGACAGACCATAGAGGTTGGAGAATTAGGCCACAGATTTAGATACTTTCTGAAAGATTACATGTTATTGGCCGATGTCTGAAGGTGTCATCATTTGTCTCTTTTTCAATAAAGGAGGTGAGATCAGAAGTTACCCAAGAGTCAAGTCAATTAAAAGCATTTGTTGAGCTTGGTTCAGACCTAAGCCAATCTGGGATCCTTGCCAATGCACAAAGCCTTCTGGACACCACCAAAGAGGTTTCTGAGGACTTTGCACACTTGGAATCTAATGTCAATGAGAGGTGAGTGGAAAGATCTGTGAAAACATTATATTGCGCCAGACCGCCAGTGTTATTCCAGTGTTTTATTAATATTTTGAATTCACTTTTATTCTTATATTTTCATTAGTTTAATTTTTAGTAATTTAGGTTTACTTTATTTTTATTTTAGTTTTAGGTTTAGTTTTTATTTTAACTCTTCAACTTTTGACAAGTTTTCTTCTAATACTTATATTTTATTTCAGCTTTATTTCTATTAACAAAAATGTTTTAATTAACAGTAATATCCCTGTTTTCCACATATAACTTCTTTGTTCAGACTGGAGGTAGAATTAATGATGTTATTAAATTCAATGCCTTCGGCAACTCTAGCCATTAGCACAATAGTGAGTTTGTTCCAAGCTATTCTTTGCAATAGTTTAATTTTGAAATGTGGTGTACCAACTCTAATTGCTTTGACATTTGACATGTGACAAAAATAAGAGGCTGAATGCTTTCTGCTATAAAAAAAAATAGAATCATGCTAACCCAATCTGACAGCACTGGATCTGCCATTATAGAAACCATTTGGCCACATCCCTTCTTAAGATGCCATATTGGGCCTCTAGGCCCAATTAAAATGTACTTCCAGAGGACTCATACAAAAGTTAGTCATGTGTTCAAGTCTAAATCCAATCCACATATCTCTAGGAATACTTGTGAGTGGGAAGTGGGATTATTATAATATAAACTGTATGTAAATGGAAGCATGTTAGGAAATGACCTTCGACTCGCTGTTGCTAACATTGCTAGAAGGCATGCTGGCCTGGTGTGGAGTCTGGCTCTGGGTTAAATCCCACACAATGTCCTGATCTATCACCATGACCTAAAATAGTACCATCTAGTGTTGCCATATTAATAGGTGGCATAGTTAGACAAAGATGTCTGGTACTGTCTATTTAAAAGATATTTTTCTGTTATGGTGTTTTAAAAGGCTAATTTCTGCTGTTAAAGGTGTACTCTGAATTTCCCATTAAAAACATTTTACAATAAGAAAGGAGATAAATATAAGATCGGGCTCACAAAAGCGGTTTTATTTTATGTGGAACAAGTCGCCTCATTGGAGCCAGCATTGTGAAGGCTCACCATTAACAAATTTTAATCAAACCAGTTTTTTCGTAGTTCATATTCATCTAACTTGCTCTGTGTCCTTCACAGATTTGATTCCATCCAGAGCTGCGTTCAGCAACTGGCGGAGTTTCGGTCGCGCTCTGGCTCCCTCCTCAGGTGGCTGCAGTCGGTACAAGAGCAACTTCCTGCCAAAGAGCCCAACCTAAGCACAGAAGGCCTGCAGAGAAGAGCACAGCAGCTTAAAGTAGGGCTGTAATTCAAGCTATTTACAGTGTTCTGACATCAGTTTCTGTTTTTAGTGAGGTGAGCTTTAATTAACATGTCTTATAAATTTGCTTGTAGGATTTGCTCTCAGAATGGGAGACCCAAGGAAGCCAAGTTCAAGAGTTGAACAAGACCAGTTCACAACTTGAGAACTTGATTATCAACATCACAGCCCCCAAAAACAAGGCTGGTAAGAAAAACAACATTGTGGAGTTTCAGTCTCCACAAAAACAACATTGTGTGTAGCTAGTCTGTAGCTATTACAGCTAAAACTGAAAACTCTGTCATCATTTACTCACCTTCAAGTCATTCAAAACCAGTATCTTTCTTCCAGGGAACAGAAAATGCAAACTTATAGATCCTGGCCACAAGAATAATAGTATTAATTTCTTATATTTTTGTATTATTATTATTATCTTAAACTTTTTAATGCCAGTGTGTCATGGTTTCGTCAAATGTTAAGTATTAAGCGGCACAACTGTTTTCAACATTGATAATAAAATTTTTAAAAAAAAAATGTTTCTTGAGCAGTAAATTAGCATATTAGAATGATTTCTTAAAGGATCATTTGACACTGAAGACTGGAGTAATTGGGTGCTGAAAATGTTCAAATAAATAACTATTGTAATAATTGTAACAATATTTCACAATATTACATTTTTACTGTATTTTCGATCAAATAAATGCAATCTTTGTTTTTCATGATTATTTTTTTAAAGGTGCTTTTGCATAATAGCTCCTTTCCCTGTTCTTTTGTTGTTGCATGGAAAAGAGCAAACCAGTACATTATTTAAATGTGCTCCATGGAAGAGAAAATATCATACAGGTTTGGAATGACATGAGGGTGAATTTTTGGCTGAACTGTCACACCTACCACCTTCCAGACGGCTGATTTTAAGCATTTTTGTTTGTATATGTGGCTTTGTGTTTAAATCCTCTGTGTTGAGTTTGTCTAGCTGCTTGTGTATGCGTGTGCTGCTCCAGCATGCCTGTGAATTATTGTGGCATTGTCTGAGCGTGTGTCTGTGTGTCTTTCTCCCAGGTGTTTCCCAGCTCAATGGTGCTTCCAGCCCCAACAGTGTTAATGGCATTCACACCTGTAAAGGTGAGCTTCCTTCACACCTTTAGCCAGTGAGCTGTGCAGCATCCTTATCTCTGGACTCTTTTTTTCTAATGGTCATTTGCATTTTCCGTTTCACCCCCCCAGGCCCGATAACTCCACATATCTCTTCCTCACCATTTCACTCACTCTCCCTATTTTCATTTGCATTGCTTCTTGTCCTGTTCTGTTAGTTTGCTTTCTAAGTATGTGTAGATTGGTGTCATCTGTCTTTGTGCATATCACCAATTTGTCCAATCATTTAAGCTTTCTTTGACACTGGCTCAGTGCACATAAATCTGATACAAAGGACTATCTTTTTTTAAGTAATAGTGTATTGATTTACATTGTAACGCATTGACAAAATTGGAAGAGAGTGTAGCTGTCACTTGGTTTCCAGCCACCTACTTTTGTGAATTTTGGGATATTGCGTAAATTCTAAAATTGCACATAAAAGAACTAATGCGCTCAGTTGAGGTGGATACATTTTTTTTTTATCCGATAAGGAGACATGCAGGTTAACTACGATGGAAACAAATTAACCAAATAAATCCTGCGATGTGCAACAAAAAAAAAACCTGTGACTTTACCTCATCAGTGGATGTGATTGATTGAATGACTGGAATAACCAGCAAACCAATTTCATTTTACAACATTTCAAATGTTGGTTTGATCATTTTGCAATACCTGAAAGAAAGTCTGTCATTTAAAATTATTTGGTTTAATTCCCTACCAGAATTCTCACATGATTGAGTTCCAAACGCAAAAGAAAGAGCCACAGTGGTTTACTCTCTTGAACTATTCTAATTTTGCGTATGAGTTCAATGTGCAACTTTGATTTAACTAAAACGCAGGTCATGTGTGGCTCCATGTTTTGCTGTTCTCAATTAAATGGATTGGTAACGCTTCCTTTTACAGCCCAGTTACCCATGTAAATACTATGTACTTATTTTAGTAACTACGATTACTGGGTAATAACTAGTACTAACCCTGAACCTACCCCAAAACCTACCCCTGTTCCATGTACTTACCTTATATTAGCCAGTACTTTCTAGGTAAATACACTGTCAGTACTGTACTGTAAAAGGAAGCGTTACCGATGGATTTTAGTTCAGTAAGACAAAAAAAAAAATCACGTGAATGCTTATCCCTCAGCTTGTATATCATTGCTTTGATAAATACCACAAACATGATGCAGTTTTATAACTAATTTGGCCTTGTCGTTGGCCTGCTCTGAATGTACTTGCATCAACATTTCTTCGCTCTTCTTCGCTCAGACTTGACTGAGATCCAGGTGGCAGTGGCAGATGTGAACTGCAAGTATGAGCAGCTGGGCAGTGACCTGAGGGAGAGGAAGGGTAGGCATGAGGCCTCTCTTGACCTGCGGCAGAAGGCCAGGCAAAGCACTGAGGCTCTCGTCCAGTGGCTAGGTCCCCGCGAACAGAGCCTGGCACAAGGGCAGACCGCCTCTCCCTCACGGCCAGAGGTGGTGCGTGCTCAAGCCCAAGAGACCAAGGTAACGTCTTAAGACAATTGAGTACTTGATGGGTATCAAACTACAGACCCCCACAAATGACTTATCCTTAAATCCAGCCTACAAATATATTTTCAAAAAAAACTTTGATTCTATGTGATTACATTGTGAATGAGCTGACGGACAGAAATCTGTGTCCAGGTTTTAATTTCTGAGCTTGCAGAGCATTCTGGGAAAGTGGAGGATCTCAAGAACATTCTGAAGCAGCTAATAACAGATAATCCAGACTCTCCTGAAGCTGAGACATGGAAACGTCAGCTTGAAGACATAGGTCAGTAAATTGTTTTAAATAGTGTGTCCTTCAATACAGTGTTTTTTAAATGCATTTCCATTTATTGGACTTTGTCCCTACAAACGACATAATAGTGCATGAATGAATATTCATTATTCACACATATGTTATATATATATATATTTGTTATTCATATCTATATATATATATATGTGTCATATATGAATATATGTGTCATATATATTCATATATATTCGCAGTGAGAATTTGGTGCAGAAAATGGAAGGCTGAAAATAAAGTAATCTCCAAGAGCCGCTCTGACCTTGTTTTTTCCAGATCAAATATCCTGAACTTTTGCTACAAAACATGTTAAAGCATTCCATTTGTTGTCAAAATGCAACCTGTTCAGGAAATTTCTTTCATCCATTGTGCTTCATTTAAACAGCATAAACAAATATCAGACAATCGTCTGTGGGTCTCTGGAAATCCACAAAAATGCTCATTTTTTCTTTTCTCCAAAAATCTGGAAGAAACCAAGGGAACCAGATTGCTTTGTGTGGATTATCGCAATTATCTGTGGTTTTTCCTCTGTTTGGCATCTAAATAACTTCGCAGTCACTCAAGTATATTTTAGATTCATGATTTCTAAATCATTAAAATTGTGATATTTGTTCTAAACATTGCTCTCTCTTCTAGACTCACGGTGGATGAATGCCAATCAGAATGCAGCACAGAGGCAGACTGAATTGGAGGCGTGTGCTGATAGGCTGGGTAGTTTTGCAACAGCAGCCAGTCAATTAGGACCATGGCTACGAGAGAAAGAGCTGATGATGAGTGTATTAGGCCCACTGAGTATCGACCCAAACATGCTCAACACACAGAAACAGCAAGTGCAGGTAAACAAGTTTTTAATGATATCTTCCTTGTTTTGTCTACCAAATTACCCTACTGGACAACAAATTTATGACCATCACTGTATAGGGGTCTTTTCAGAATATTCATTAAATACAGATTGTTATACAGTCTAAAACATTGAAAGTCTTTGTGTTACATTGTAGAGTACCATAGAAAATTCTACCTTTAAATGCATTTCTATTTCAAAAGAACTGATGAGTTTATTTTTTTCTCTCGTGGAATAGTTCATGTTAATGTTTATTAAAACATTTTTATCATTGGATATCACCTGTGCCTATAAAGAGTTGAGACCTTGACTGGTCAAAACATTGTGCTGTTTTATTATTAATAAACTTTCTAGAGTATCAATATCATGCATTACATTGACATTTAAAAAAAAAAATTAACATTTTGTACTGTATTGTATTTCTTTATCCCGTCAGTTCATGCTACGTGAGTTCGAGACACGGCAACCCCAGTTTGACCAGCTGACTCAGGCGGCAGAGGGAATCCTCTCTCCGACAGGAGACGATGGTTCTAGAGATGAACACGACCTAGAGGAGGTGAGGCAGGAGCTGGCAGACATTTCAAAGCAGTGGGGAGACCTCACCTCTCGCCTCACGGGCCGCTCGCAGAAGATCGACCAGGCACAGGGAACCAGCGAGCGCTACCTAGCCCTTCTCAGGGAGCTGTCTCAGAGTGTGGCCAATCTAGGGGAGAGGCTGGATGCGCAGGCCTCTCTAAGCGCTCAACCCGAAGCCCTACGTCGTAGGCTTCAGGAAACAGGGGAGATCCGCTCTGAGCTGGAACAGAGACGGGGTCAACTGGCCCAGGCTGAGCAGCTGTGTGAGGAGCTCAGCACAATTGTGGCCGAACCGTATCTCAGAGATGAGTTGCACAAGAGACTGGAGAGTGTGAGCGGCCCCCTCAAGAACCTAGAAGAACGGGCTGGTAAGTATCATTTACCGTAATGCAGGGTCAGAAATTAACTTTTCCATTAAGGGGCAATATTTGCCCACTGGAATTTGAATCAAATGTATAATTACTAGGGCCGTGACTAGATTAAAAAAAAATTATTCAAATTAATTAATCGAAATTAATCGCATTTTAATTGCATAAATATTTGAACTGAGAACAGTGAGAAGAATTTTTTTTTCACATGGATTTTTAGTATACCATTGAATAATGACTGAATACATAAGCTTAAGCAACAAAATATTGTTTATTTTTGTTCAACCAAGTCGAGCAGACCAGTGCAATTGTATATCTTTTGCGTTGAGGTGAAACTTGAGGGTCGATGTGACACAACCACGCTCTTATTGACGCTTCCATCCGTTAGTTTTTATAACAAAATTTCCCATCCACGGGACCAACCAAAGCGGTCTCGTCAGCTTCTTCGTTTAGGTTAACTGTGGTTTGTTGTTTAGTTGTCTGAAGCATAGACTGTAAAAAAAGTAATGAACGCTAGTTGGTGCTCCAGTATAATCGGTCCGCCGAAACTAATCCAGTGAGAAATGTTCCGCGGTGCAAAAATAAGTGCAATTAAAATACGTACATTTTTTGGTTTAATTAATTAAAGCGTTAAAGTCTGTAATTATAATTAATTAATCTCAATTAACGCGTTAAAGTCCCGGCTCTAATAATTACCTTATTAAAAATATGTGTGTTGTCTTATTTATAATACCTATTTTTAACAAATTATAATATTATTCAATTAGAAAATTTTATTTTACACAGCAAAGGTAGAACAGAAGCTACATCTGACATGGCATGTTTATGGAAAGGTGGAATACATGACTTTACACAAAAACTGCATCATAATAATAATAATAATACTATTTATTATAAACTTTAGTAGTAATTGATTTAGTTTAACTGTGCAGTTCTCTTAGTTCTGGGGTGAGACAATTCTGTTGTCATCACCAATAATCTCTCACCCTTCCATAATATGGTTTTGTGCATGTACTGTACATAAAAGTAACCGTCCCTCTCACTGCTGTCTTTCAGCTGATGGCTTGTCCCAGCTGCAGGCCGCCCTGTCCAGCACTCAACAGTTCCAACAGATGTTTGACGAGCTTCGTGGCTGGTTGGATGGGCAGGATGGGAGTCACACAGCTGGTATTTCTGATGCTCTCCCTTGCCAACCTGACACTTTGAAGACCCTTCTCGCCCAACAAGAAGATCTCCAGCGAGCCATGGCACAACAACGTGGATCCTACGAGCTCATCCAGGCCGAGGGGGCATCTCTACTGGCATCCCTCCCTCCTGGAGATGAGCGATTAGCCCTACAGACTCGATTAAACACCTTACGGCAAGACTGGGAGGGCATGAACCAGCAAACCACTGAGAAACACTGTCGAATAAAAGAGACGCTGTCCCGTGCTGAGCTGTACCAACAACATCACAATGAGCTTGTGCCTTGGGTTGCAGAATGTGAGGAAAGGGAGGCAGAGATCCACCCATCACTGGATCCCGCCGCCTTAGACGAGGCTTTGCAAAAGGCTAGACAGTTGAGCATGGACTTAGATCGCCGTCGCCCCCTCTTAGAGTCTCTGAACGCGGCAGCAGATCAGCTGCTGGAGCAGAGCTGCGTTGGTGAAGAAGAAGTGAGGGATGAAAAGGCTCAGCTTAACCGCAGGGTAGACGGCCTCTCTGAGCGACTACAGGGACGCACGGCTCAGCTAGAGGAGTTGGGAAGCAGACTGAAGGAGTTTGAAGAGGGCAGACTGGCTGTGGAGAGAAGGCTGGAAGCAGCCAAGCATCAGATCGAGGTTCAGGAGGCACTTGGGCCACAAGCTTGTAGCAACAAAAGCCTGGAGCGTTTGCGTAGCCAACAGGAACTGTTAAACTCTATACAGCCGCAGGTGGTGTACCTGCGAAACCTGGCTCAGGGGCTGCTGCAGGACGCACCCGAGATATCCGGGGCCGGCGAAGATGGCGGCCAGAGGCTAATGCAGCAGGCTTGTGATACCGAAAAAGAGTTTGAAGAAGTTACTGAGAAGGTGAGAGAATCTGCACATGATCAGGAGCCTCTGGAATGTGTCTAGACTCAGGCAGTAGTTGGGATGTTATATATAACCTGATGTGTAGTTCATGTCTGCGCTCATGCCGTATATGCTCAATACGACTTTTACACGTCCTTTTTTTTTTACTGTTGGTCCAGATTTGTCTTGTTTAATAGTTTGTAGTCAAAAGTTTAACGTTACCATTCAACTCTTAACAGGACTAAACTAAAATAATCATTAAATTATCCAAACAGAGTTCAGATCTGCTGGAAAGCACCTCTAAAAATAAAATAGTGTTTCTGTTCAGCTGAGGTTAGTTCGGTGTAGAGCCCGACCGATAAAGGATTTTGAAGGCCGATACCGATACAAATATTTGTTGGTTTTAAAATCCGATATTCCGATATATCGGCCGATATTTTTATTTTTTATGTTGTTTTTTTTTAGAAACGCACAACAAAACATTAACAGATTTCCCTAACATTAGTTATTTGTAGTTATTTATGACTTTTAACTAAAATAATATAATGCATTTTAATGAGAAGCTTGTTTCTTTTATTGTCACAACAGAACAGACTGGTGATAGTGGCATTAGCTAGCTTTGTGGTTAGCTAGTCTATGATGAGCCATAATTTAGCAATGGATAACGTCATACTGCAAATTGGAAAGCATACATTTTCAATATAACAGGCCAAGAAGAGATTTAATTGTTATTCAAGCAATGTATGTGTCGTGACCAACTCAACGAGTGTTGCAAACAGGGACGGTGTAGAGTGTTCTCTGGTGGACAAACTATACAACTCCAACACTCATGACATGGTTCAAGCGTGTTTCGTCCGTTTTTATTTTATTTTTGAAATATTCATTTATCGGCCATTATAACTGCCGATACCGATAGTTTGGAAAATGCCTAATATCGGCCGATATTAGGCCGATATTAGGCATTTAGTTTGGCTCTAGTTCGGTGTTGATTCAGTTCGATTCAATAGTTTTGTAAGTTCAATTCAGCTATAAAGCAATTCATCTATGTCATCGTCCAGCTCAGTTGGGTTCGGGTAAATGATAGAAATCAAGAGAAAAGGTTGTTATTGTGAAATATTGTTATTGCTTGTTATTGTTTTTTTTACCTCCATTTACCTGCATCTGTCCCCTTTCTTTTCCCAACAGACTGAGCAATGCTGCTCATCCTTGGAGTCCCGGTTGCAGGGCGTGGGAGAGGTCCAATCACATGTTCGAGATATTTTCTCCCGCCTGGCTGATTTGGATGATGAACTGGACAGCCTTAGCCCTGTGGGACGAGATGCTGACTCCTTGGCTTCACAGGCCGACGCCGTCAGGGGCTTCCTGAGCCGACTTGATGCCCTCCGTGCCGAGCTGGAGAGTCATGGTGGGGAATGCACAACTATGCTGCGCAGAGAGGGGAGCTCTCCCGATCTTCTGGCCCTCAGGAGAGAAACCGAAGCCCTAAACCGACAGGCTGGCAAGCTGAAAGAGCGAGGCCAGAACCGTCTGGCACTCATAGGAGCAGCAGAAGAACGCGTTAAGGAGTTCTACGCCCGACTGGCAGACCTACAGGGGCTGCTGGGACGGGCTGAGGAGGTGCTGAACACACAGGCCGTCGTTGGGACAGAAGTGGAGGTCATTAAACAGCAACTTCAAGAATTTAAGGTAGGAATATATTTAGCAAGCTGTATATTTTTCTGTGTACTGTAGCTTTCATATGCAATATCAGATTCCATTGTGTGCTAACCACTGTTAGCTAACAATATTCATGCCACAGGAGTCTCTAAGGCTTCAGTCTCAGAGGGGCTCAACCCGCCTACCTAAGCATGAGCTCATGTGGCATAGTCGTGTTTTGTCAATATCTAAACAATGTGTAGCAAAGCCCTCGTCATGCACAATGTGGTTTACCGAAGTATGACTTGTTCCTGAATCAACCACCCTACCCCTAAATTCAGTAGGCAATGTTTTGCAGATGATGCATGATGATGTTCCTGAACCAGCAAAGCTTTTGATCCAGGAACATGTCCTAATTGTGTAAATCACTTAAGTCCAGGGCTGCATGGAGTGCATGGGGGGATCAAATTTGGATTTTTCTGGAAATTGTGATTGCTATTTAAAATGTGATTAGAAAAAAAGCTCCAGGTTTGCCGAGCTTCTTTGTAGGGATGCACAATTTGGACAATTAATGGTTGTCTTAACTACTTTATTTTCCCTATTAGCCCTCAACGCTTCTCTTTTGTAGCACTTTTTACAAGTTCTGCGTTCCCAAATCCACGTTATAAGCGTATCTCTAAATATTTATTTAATTAAATCGCAACTTTTGCAAGCCATATTGTGATTTTGGTTTTATTTTGATCAATAATCCAGCTACATCTGGCTCATGTTTGTTGTGAGCTTAGTAGGAATGTTTTCATTGACTATGCAAACTCTCAGGTGGACCCATTTGCGGCTTAAAAACTACAGCGCAATCTGAATTCAGTTGCACACACTCTCAGCCTCTTGCCCCTCAAGTGTGTTTGTTTAAAAGAGAAAAGCAAGAAAAATGTATCAATATCCGTGTGGTACTTTTAATATTTGTATTACTGCAGGGTGAAAGCACTATCCCTTGATAAATCCTTCTTTCCCAACATGTTTTTGCTGTTTTCCTCCTATCATCTCTGTGATGGTGGCGAGAGAATAAGGTGAGACATGTCAGCTCTTACTTAGAGTGGGCTGCCCGAGTTCACCTTTCCTCCCGTCCGTCTGATGAAATGTCTTTATCTCTCTTACTCATGCCTCTTGGGGGTGGTGAAAGAAAGGAGAGTGTGAGAGTAAAGAGCTGTAGGTGGAAGTGGGAAGGAATGGAGCTGAGGAAATGACAGATGTAGTGGGCGTCCGAGACCTCCAGGAGCAGGAGAGTGAATCAGTGCTATAGAAAATATGTCTTGCTGAGACTGAATCATTCCTTCCTCTGCCATGTTTGATTGCTCAACAACAACAGTATGCGTGGTGTTGAATTAGTCCAGTGACCTTTAGCTGAACATTTGAAGATTTTAAATGGCAACATTTATCATCAAAGACTTTTTGAAGTTCTTGGAATTTGGGATAAAGGGTGAAATTTGTCATTGTGTCATTTGTGTTCTTCAGAGACTTTATAATTTCATGCGAGGTAAATCTTCCATTGTGGGCTTACTGCATCCCTCTGTTCAGTGCCAACATTGAGAGCTCATTAATGATGTCACCAACACTGTGATGGACACTGAGATAAATCTGACCACACAACTAATCTGTGTCAATATGTAAGCGTAAGAAGGGAGGAAAAAAAGAGCTATATCAGTCATGTGAATAGTGGAGAGACAATAAAATAGTTATAGATATACTAGCAGATTTATCAGTATATTATAATAATTTCTGAAGTATCATGTGACACTGAAGACTGGAATCAGCTTTGCATCACAGGATTAAATGACATTTTAAAGTGTAATAATATTTCACAATTTTACTTTTTTACTGTATTATTATTATTATAAATGTAGCATTGGTGAAAAGACTTTGAGTTTTCAACTTTTGAGACTTTTCAACTTCTATCTTCATTAACATGCACCACCTGTGGAAGTCTTAAAGTCTTTCCACACACATTTTTTGAGTATTCTGTTTTTCCACTACTTGCTTGTCTCATTTAGGCGTAGCGGTCTAATAAAGCTCTCAATCAAATTTTTAACAATATGGTTGACTGAAAGCACGGCATTACCCATTTTCTCATCTTCTGCTTTTCTTTCTTTCTCCCATATTCTCTCATGGGTGCTAAATGAATGCAGGTTGTGTAGATGTGATTAAGAGCACAGGCAGACAGACAGTGAGAGGGGCAGAAAAGGGACTGAATAGAGGACTAAGAATAAGTGGGTGTTGTTGATATGGTCAAGTGCATGTCTAATCAATACAGCGTGAAGTGGAGTTCAAGAATGAAGTCAAAGCCAGCACAGTATATAAAGTACAATGGGCTTCAGTCGTGCTGATGTTGAATCTTGGATACACTATTTTAACATCCAATCCATTATTTCCTACTAGATTTCTCTTTCTGTCAGGCAATATAGTTTTTAAAAAAATGTATTGAATTGAGTTTATTGAATAATCTTAATTGTCTTTCTCAATGCTCAGTCTGACTGCGATCAGCACAGATTCAGTCAGTGGTATTATAACAAAGGCAGTGGAAAATTACAGCTTCTCAATATTGTCTTGTGACCTTGAAATGGAGACAGCCACGTATCTCAAACTCTTGAAGACGGTACAAGACACAAATTGAGATATAACCGTAAAAATAATGAAATGTATATTATTTCATAATGTTATGCTGCGGCATGAATATAATTTGTTACAGTAAAAAATGCACAATAGAAGCATTTTCACAAGTGGACTATTGAACCCCACTGTATGTATTTGTAGTCTAGAGGTTGTTTTTAGGAAGCTGAGGAGATGAGCTCTCATTCATTACAAAGAGGAAAAAGAGAAAGATGAATAAAATGCGTTCAGAAAGACATCCATGGGATACATCCAACTTGGCTTCAAGCACTTTTTCCATCTTCTCTGCCCCATTTCTCTCTTTTCGTCTTCCACTTTGAAACGAAACATCGTAAAATAAATGTGAGTGCAGCCCGTTCGTCTGCCACTCGGATAGTCTGCTCTCATTTTCGCCTCACTCCACGCAAGCCAGACTCCATTTCAAAGACACCAAATCCAAAATGATGTCATTGCTGAAAGGGGTGGAGAGGGGAGGGTGATCCTGTGTGTGTGTGTGTCTGAGAGGTTTTTTTGTTGTGCAAGCTTCGTCAGGGCAGCTGCGGGGGGCATGGGGTATTAAGAGAAGGTGTCAGATTAGTCAGTGTCATTGTTTAGCTTTTCAACAATGAGTGTATTGAGATGTTGTGGAAATCGGTCGGAGAGAGCCGGGGCTTTTCACACTTCAATGTGAAATGTCTAGCCGGTGTCGTCCAGTGTTTCCTGTTCTCATATTTATCAGCAGGCGTGTGCTCTAGGGTGACATGTAGACGCAGAAGGTGTGTTTGTATGTTGTGGGAGTGTGTCCGCAGGTCCATGTGTGAGAATGTTTCTAATTCCAGTCCGTGTGGAGCGCCCGGCATCCCAGCTGTCTCCCCACCCTGAACCCTGGAAACACACACACATGTACACATAATCAGGGTGTGGTTGCCCCCTCCTTAAAATTCTTGTCCCTTACGTACCCTTGTGTGCTCCCATGTCGCTCTGTCCCAGAGCAGCTGAGGCTTGAGCCAGCGGGGCCGGATGAAGTGCTAGATTGGAGTAAAGCGAGGGCCCCTTGTCCAACTGGGAATTCCTTCACAGGGCTGTTGGGATGAGGGAATGGCTTCTAAATCAAATCAGGTTGTCCACACTGTCCTCAACCTTGCCGCTTATATCTTTACTCCTTCCATCACTCCATCACTCTTGCTGGTTTGTCTATTTTTATCGACCTCTTTTTACGCAGTTTGAGATTTTCTTCCACATAAACAACTGTGGAGACTGTCATGACCTGCCCGGCCCCCACCCAAACCTTAGGGGTTTCCCTTTAACTCATCAATCTTGTGGCCTCCCAGTCAAATAAGTAGATTAGCACTTTCCTGGAAGAATGAATTTATCACTATTGCAACAAGGTAATGTAATGTAAAGTTCTTACAATGAGGTATATTAACATCCGTCATAGAAAAAATCCATCATATTTCAGTCCAAATTAAAATTAAATAAAAATGTACATTTGTTACTGATACAAGTTTGTATAAGTCTTATATGACCATTATAATAATAATAATAATAATTTTTGTTTCAGTTAATCACAGTTTATACTTCCAAATCAGTGTAATGGAAAAAATATTCCTGTTATTTTTCCAAATATATTTTATTTGGATGTAAATATTCTTTTTTTTTACTGTAATTACAATAAAATTCTTCAGAAGTGAAAAGTGATTCAATAATCTACTGAACATTTCACAATGCTAAATATTATATAGTACTTTTCCATGAGCTTTGATAAAAGAGTTATGTAGGGTATGCTTTGTATGAACCTTACCCGGATGAATCAGGCCTAGTTAGATATCAGTCTATGATCGTGGTGATACTGTATGTTTTTGTAGCCTCTGAAAACTTTTTTATGGTTAAGCATTCCTGTGCCATGTCTTATCAATCTCTGGTGTCATTCTAGTGTAATTTCCATTTCTGCAGTTTCCCTAGAACATCTTTTACCTGTAAATATATCATTTATATCAGTTTGCTCATATTCAGTGGGGGTTGATTAAATTAGTATAACATGGTTAGACTAATCTGATGATTTATTATATCTAAATTGACCCGGTTCTAAACATCAAACACTGGTATTTGATTGTGCATGCACATATGTGTGTTATGTCATGCTCTCTCTAGCTGTTCCCATTGCCTGATATTGTTTCAGCTGTTGTGCATTACTGTGGCATTCCATAGAAAAGCCCACTTTCCCTTCCAGTTAGTCTCAATTATCTCACCAACAGAAATAAATAAGAACTTAATGTAAGTAGGGTTACTCCACTGACATTTGGAAATAATTACCAAGATAATAATCAAATGTTTTGACTGAAGTTAAATGTAGGAACAAGGTTGTGATTTACATGGTTTATTTTTTTCCTAAATAACAGCTTTAATAT